TTGGGATTAAAATTGTTTATATTGTAAAAAATTTAAAAATGTATGGCTGAGTGGCCCTTTCATTTTTTGTTCCTTGCCAAGAGATTGAGTCTTCCATCTTTTCTTCTAGCAGAGCATGTTATTATCATATTGTTTTTAAAATGGTTTCTCTGGCGGGGTACAGTGGTGCACGTGTGTAATCCCAGTGGCTCTGGAGGCTGAGGCAGGAGAATCAAAGCCAGCCTCAGCAACAGTGAGGCATTAAGCAGCTCAGTGAGACCCTGTCTCTAAATAAAATACAAAATAGAGCTGGGAATGTGGCTGATAGTCCAGTGCCCCTGAGTTCAATGCCCAGTACTCCTGCGCCACAAGAAAATGATTTTTCTAGGTTCAAGATCACTGAAGTTTACTGGCAAAAGCAAAAACAATTTTTTTTAAATCCTGGAAATAATTTAATAAATACAAGGATTCTGGGGAGGGAGAGAGTTAGTGACCTATTTTCCTCTTCTCCCAAAATAAAGAGAATGACTCTTTAAATGTATAGCCTCATTTTTATATGATTGCGACCCTAAACTAGTCTACTCAATGGTTGGTGTGGGACATTGGTGTTAGCTTTTCCCATTCATTTAGATGGGCTTTTGTTTTTATTGTTGGTCATTGTAAGAATTCCAAGGAATAGAAAGATCTCATGGGCAAATCAGTTTGCTTTGTCCTCTGTACATTTGTTAGTTTATAATAGTTTTTATATTCCTCTCAGTTTTAAAAGTTGAGATGCCTTTAATCACACTCTGAATGGTCCTATTCTCAGAAGCTAGGGAAGAGGTTCCCTTCCTTCCCCCATAGCACCATAATTGGGAAATTTGGTTACTGTACTAAATTTTAAGTTTTGGCACTCATGTGGAGCAGCCATCCATCTGCTGGCGAGACACACTGCCTGGGGCTTTTCAAGAAATCCCTTAATAGGCCTGAACACTAATAATATTTATATACATTGAGATGAGGCAAAATTTATAGTATGCTTCTGGAGCTGGCTCCAGTACTCTCTAATCCCAGACTTCCTCGTGTTCTCCTGCCTGCCTCCTGGAATCCTCTTGGAGTGTGCTTCAGAGAGAGGAACACCGGCTTCCTGCCTGAAGCCACTACTTATTTATGGAGTTTGTCACCTTTCCTTCTTATAGTCTCCTCTTCTCCTCATCACACCTCATATCCATTTCCCTGCAAAGAATAGATGTGTATTTATACACAGTTTGCACCAGTTAATATAAAGGAACCCATTGATTTGGGATTCTTTGAAGAGGAATTGTTCTTTAAAAAAAAATGAAAAAAAAAAAGATCTTAACTAGTTACACTTTTCTGAAATTTATTTGGAAGTAGCTCCTGTCACTTGGAACCAACCTGACTTCTCCAGCTTATGTGTTGTTTGTGGCACTCAGTTCCCTTTAATTTATCCCTTTGGGGGATTTCAGTGGACCCCTGCTCAGACATGCTATTTCCTGTGGAAGGGATAAGGGTGTTGGAAATGCAAAATATATCTAACAGGTACTTTTTCAGCTATTTGTTTGTTTTTCTTTCTCATCCTGGGAAAGCCCAATATTTACATTTGTTATGACTTATTGCAAGTGAGTTCAGGGGGACATTTTTCTATTCTTTTAAATGCTCTTGAGATTTTACTACTATGTGAATAGCTATTTGAACTTAATGTCTGTTACTCATCATTTTTATGGCATTTTCTTTGCATTGTAAGTGAATAAAAAGGAGTTCTGCAAGTTAATATTGGTCCCAGTTAGTCTCTGATGGTGATTGTAAGATTCATAATTAATTTTCCCTTCCTCCAACAAAAAAGGATAGTGGGTAGATGGCTGAAGAGCAGCTCTAAATGAAGTATGTGCCTACAACTGCTGGTATACCTGGAAAGCCAGACTGTGAGCATCATTTTCTGCAGCCAGTTTTATTGATCCTTGTGGATCCATTATATTGCATGAGCTTTGTAGGGTCAACATAATAGGCGGCAAGTCTGTCTGCTTGCCTGATCACTTTTTTGGTTCTGTGTTCCCTGAGCAACCATACCCACTGTGCTTCTGACAGATGACTTTTTCTAATATAAAACTCTGACCTTTGCCTGAAACTTTCAGGAATTGTCCATTGTCCACCAATGGAAAGGCTTTCAGTGCCTCCCTGACATGTCCCCCTCTTCCTCTTGGCAACATGTGACTGGTCCCCATCCCTCTTTGCCATGAGTACCTACTTCTACCACCATAGCAATTCCATTGGTTTTATAAACATTTACATGTGGTGCTCTCTGTGGTATTCTTTATTGCTATCCTCTTCATCTTTCAGCTCCTCTTCATCTTTCAGCTCCAGCCTCATCACCTCTGCAAATCTTCCTGGCATCCAGGGTTCCCAGAAACATAATACACATTCACTCATTCCTACTTATCTGGTATGCTATGCCTTCCCTGAAGACTGATCCATACACACATCTGTCTGGAACACAGGTGTAGCATATGCTCAATGAGTAGTTGCTAAGTAGATAAATAAAGGATAGATGGATCAATTTAAAAATCTGAAGTCAGCATATGCAATATCAATGTTTCTTTAGATCTTGAGCCTCGAGGTGCCCTCCATAATGGATATATTTGAAATTAAATAGTCATTTAATCTGTTTTATTTTTCTATGTTTTTGAGTGAAAGGTGAGGTGGTAGAGAGTATGTATTTGTGTTTGCTGTAAATATACTAGGCTTTAAATTAAATTCATGTTATACTCTTCAAAATAATCATCATGGTTGACAGTATATGTATATCAATATTTTAGGAGCTCCTGCAACATATTTTTTATGTAATCATAAATAGTTAACTCCTTGTTGTTTGTTGGATAGGTGAGTTTTTTTAAATAGCCAGAAGTCATGAACAAAATGACACACATAATTACAAAATGACATGCATAAACCAACAAGAATGGTTTTCTTCTTCCCCTCTACATAGTTTGAAAGGGGTGTCTTGGTTGGGTTAGTTTAGTTGCATATAATAGCAGTCACTTAAACAAAATGAAAGTTTGTTTCCCTTTCACCTAAAGAAGTCCAGAAATAAGCAGTTCAGTGTTAGAGACCAAGTTTCTTTTATATCACTCCACCCTTCTGAAAGTGCTACCTCATAATTCAAGATAGCTGCATAAGCTCCTTGCATTATTTTTGCATTTCAACCAGTGAGGAGGAAGATTGGGCATGCCCTCTGTTTAAGAAGTCCTCCAGGAAGTTTCAGTCAGAATATTTGTTTATATCTCACTGGACAGAACTTAAGACACATAGCCACTTCTAACTGTAATGAAGGCTAGAGATGTAAGATCTATGGACATGGCAATATGCCTAACTAAAAACTGCCAAAAAGCATAAGCATAAGAAAAAAACAATGGAAAGTAACCTGATGTTCCTGCTACAAGATGATCTCAAAGGAGAAAATTGCAAGATTATTTTAAACTTGACAGTATCATGAGAATTCATCAGTTTTCTTCAGAGGTGACATTTGTTTGAATGTCCCAAGTTCTGATATTGGTTTTTGAATCCATGTTTGCATTGAAACAGAAATTTTTAAATGGAACTAGTAGGTTTGTAGGTTAGTATAAACTTTCCAGAGGAAAGTTTGACTTAGCAAGATTCATCCTGGAAAGTGAGCCTAATGAAATGTTGAGGATGTTCATAATGGTAATAGAAGATAATAGGAGACTCCACAATGGGATATAACTTTACCATTAAACAATCATGAAATTCACTCTCTATAATGGCCAAAACATTCTTTCTGAATGGCTTGATCCTTGTATTTGTCTTTATTTGTCCATGAACATATAAAGGATCCATTGGAGGTGATGATAAAGGGGCCATTTGTGGGCAGATAGATTTGTGCTTTCTTTATACTCCTTCATCTATGCTCTCTGATATTTTTTAAGCATGTGTTTTTATAAGAAAAAAATATTTAGAACCTTCACTCAATGTTGCACATCAGAGTCAAAAATATACATATTTAAGTAATTTTGTATTGTTTTCCCACTCAAGGAAAAAGTAGGACACACATAATACAAACCAGATTTCATATTTTGTTGATTTATACGTTATTTAGGAGTAAGGCTAACAGCCCATAGAGTGTGATCATAGAGCATTGTTATGGAAATGAGTGCCAACTCATCTCCTTGAGATGTGAATTGTGGATCTGTGGTCATTAAGCACTGCTTTCCCTTGACTTGAGAGGATTGAGTAGGGGAAATGGACTCTAAATTCCTGTGGTCCCCTGGGCTCAGGGGCCTGACAGTGACCATGTGACAAAGTGACTTCAGTTACCTAATAGGTTGGGTTCTGAGTTAAAATCATCACTTATTCAGAGTAAACACTTTATGTAGTTTAAGCAGAAACAAACTTCTAAAGCTGCTTTGTAAACCCAAGTGGCACCATCTTTCCTATATTGTGGTTTAATTATTTTAAAAATAAGCATTTCTACACATGAAGGATTTTGAATTGTTTCCAGAGGGAACACACAGGAGGTGTACCCCCCACAATCTAATAAAAAAGAAAAAAAAACTTATCCAGGGTTTCAGGAAACCACTGGGGGATCTTGGAGTATCATAGTGCCTAAGGGGGTACTGCCATATTTGTTATAAGGAATTCTACTTATATTTGCCTTTTAAAGTTCTGATAAACCCTGTGGTTCCTAGAGGGCTTCCCCATGTTCACCTAGGCCTCAGGCACCTTCTCACCCCCATTTTACAGATGAGAAAAGAGGGGGATCAAGGTCATTAGAAGCCAGTGGCTCCAAACAAGGAGTACATAAAAGAGACTGGACTTGAAACCTGCCAGTGCTGTCTGCTCTTCTAATACTGGATGAAAAGACAGTGATTCTCTTTGTGGGGATGTCATGGAAGGTCGTGTGCTTGCCTCTTCCACAGGCCATCTGGTGTGGGCTGTAGCAGCGGGTGATGCAGCAGGCTGTTACACGGGCCCTGCTGGGTCTCACCAATTCTCCTCTGTCCCCACAGTGTGCCCGAGCGTGTGCGGAAAGCGGGCGTGCACCGAGAACAATGAATGCTGCCACCAGGAATGCCTGGGCAGCTGCCACGCACCAGACAATGACACAGCCTGCGTGGCCTGCCGGCACTACTTCTATGAGGGCGTGTGTGTGCCTGCCTGCCCGCCTGACACCTACAGGTTCGAGGGATGGCGCTGCGTGAAGCGCGACTTCTGTGCCAACATCCTCAGCGCTGAGAGCAGTGACTCTGAGGGCTTCGTCATCCACGACGGCGAGTGCATGCAGGAGTGCCCCTCAGGCTTCATCCGCAACGGCACCCAGAGGTCAGTGTCCATTGCAAGTCCCAGGGGCTACCAAGGGTGCTCTCTGCCAATTGCCACATCTGGTCAGGACTTTCCAGACATTAACCCAACTGGATCCATTTGAGAGGGCTAGTATAACTTACATTTTTTATGAGAATCTGGTAGCAGTTAGCACGTTCTCACACCCACACATGTGTGTGTGTTTTGCTTTTTCAATTTATGTTTTGTTTTAAAAGTATACTTCCCAACCATTGAAATTAAGTACCTAGCTTCCTGGGTCTGATGCCTGGAATTTATTCACCTTTTCCTTGTACACTTGCCACGCTGCTACCTGAGAGGCAGGGGCCTGTGGTTTTAGATTTTCATCCCCAGGTTGCTACTAACACTAGCTCAAGGAAAGCTTTGGGAGAGCAAGGGGAAAGAAACATCCCTACAGGATCCTCCAGGCCCATGAGCAGGCCTGGTACATCTTACCGCAGGCATAGGCCCTGTGCATGAACTAGCAGCTGCTGAGGATAAGCAGTAGTTTAAAGTAAACTGTGTCTCCCATTCCCTTCTCCTTTCTCTCACTCTCTCATCCTCTGACTCCCTCAGTAGTCTTTGTGGCCTTTAGTTTCTTTCCTAAACTTTGAAATTTCACTTAGGAAGTAGAATTCCTTATAACAAATGACATTTCTCCTATCTGTGGCCACTAGGCTTCTATAACTTGTCATTAGTTTATGTTTTTGAAAGTGAGAAATTAGATTTAGTTACAAAATATAGTGATAAAACTCTGGAAGCAAAAGAAGATAGAAGTTTGGGGTTACTATTTCCTCCCCTGCAGCAGAGTAAAGAACTTTTGGGAAAGTTCTGTACCAATGGGATTTATGATTCCTACACAATAAACACCTGAGGACCCTTGTGTATCTGGATTCTTCAGAATAAAACTAGGGAATTATTGATGTAGGTCAATAATAGAGTGCATGGTTGGCATGTGTGAGGCCCTGAATTTGATTCTCTGAACTGCAGTCAATCAATCAATCATATTCTACAAATACAAATACCATTAGAAATTAGTTTTAAAATTAATAAAATTAGTTTTAAGTATAATATTTGCTGCAGTCTGCATCTGTAAACTACAGCAAATAGGTCTTCTTTTATTTTTTTCTCTTAAAGAAGTTCTGTTTCTAGTGCAATATTTAGTGATGCTGTTTCTACTGCAGGCTGCCATTCAAACCAATGATAAAACTCATATCCTTTCATAATACTAGGTGTAACACAACTTTTGGCCTGTTATAATTTCTATGAACATTGTAATATAAAAAATTAACTACTTCAAAATGATAAGTGAGCCAGGAACTCCAATAAGCCAAAAATATATGTATATTTATTATATCAAAAATAAGGGGCTGGGATTGTGGCTGAATCCATGTGTTAGGTAGAGCACTTGCCTGGTATGTGTGAGGCACTGGGTTCAATCCTCAGCACCACATCAAAATAAATTAAAAATGAACGTATTGTGTACACCTATAACTAAAAGTCTACTGCATTTTACATTTTACTGGCAGCCAGTGTTAGCCAGCTTTCTATTGCTATAACAAAATGTTATATGCTATAACAAAATGATAGTCAACTTATAAGAGACAATTTACTTTGGCTAACAGTTTTAGAGGTTTCAATCCATGGTTGGTTGGCCAGGTAGCCTTTGGACCTATGGCAAGGCAGCACATCATGGCAAGGAGTGTGTAGTGCAGCAAAACCATTGACCTTGTGGTCAGGAATAAATGAGCCCGGAGCGGGTTGGGGGCCCAATCTCCTCTTCAAATGCGTATCCTCAGTGATTAGAAGACCTTCCAATAGGCCTCACATCTTCAAGTTTTTCCCAGTGGCCTCAAAACTAATCCTTCAACAGGGTAGACCTTTGCAGGAGGTTCTGGTCCAAGCTATAGCACAGCTTTAGGACACAAAGGGACTTTATTGTTGTGTATATGGAGTCCTGGAGAAGTGCCTGGTGCCCAGTAAAGGCTCAGCTATAATTCAGACACCACCTCCTTCCTGGGGTGGGGTCAGGAAAGGGATAGCTGGTCCATGAACTTAATACAGTGTCACCTTTGATCTGCACATGTAATTTCTTATGCTACCTGGATGCATTCAGTCATTCTGCAACCACCAGTGCAACAGTCAGAGTGAGAACACTCTATGTTTGCAGTGTTGTTTTTTTCTTTCTCTGCAGGGTATTCTTAAAAAGATGAGCAATTATTTTCCTACCCATTATAGTCTATTCAAAACTACAGACCTGCCTTTTCTGTTTTAACATAAAACATCATTAAGAAATAATAAATGCTCCTTTTCAGTCTTTGAGACCTGTTTAACCCTTACCTTAAAATATTTTTCAAATACTGTTTATACTCTCTGTACCAAAATGAATTTGAAGAAGCTCAATCTATAAGTACATTATCAAAACACTTTCTTACAAAAAAATTTTTAAGTGCTAGATGATTTTTAGACATTTGAACAAAGAAATATGTTCTATTTGAATAAAAGATGGAGAGAAACCAAATATACACTTACTTTAAAATCCAGCAATGGCAACACTGGACATTTAACCCAGAAAAATGATATCTAAACAAAACCATGCACACAGTTGTTCACATCACCATTTTCTGTAATAGCCAGAAACTGGAAACAACTCAGCAGTCCTAAGATAGGTAAATGGTGAAGCAGACTGTGGTATGTCCACACTGTGGAATATTACTCAGCAATAAAAAGGGGAAACCCACTGAAATTCCTAGCAGTTTGGATGAATCTCAAAGACATTGTGCTATGTAAAGAAAGACAATCTCAAATGGTAACATACTACATGATTCCAAACATTCGTAGAATGATAAAATTTAAAAAGAGGTGGAGAACAAATTAGTGGTTGCTCGGAGTTAGGGATATTAGAAACTGGGGTGGGGAAAATGAATTGGTGGCACAGGGGATATCCATGTGGTGCTGGAATAGTTCTGTTTCTTGTTTCCAGTGGGGATTACACAAGTCTCCACAGTGGTAAGACAACACAGGACTCTATACACATATTGTGCCAGTGTTAATTTCCTCGTCTTGATATTTCATTATCATTATGTAAGATGTTGTAACCATTAGAGGAAATTGGGTGAAGGATACATGGGTCCTGTCTATACTATCCTAGTAACTTCCTGTGCATCTATAACTATTTTTAAATAAGTTTTTTTAAAGAGATAGTTGGGGGCCTTATGTGCTATCTAGGTAAATTAGAAACAATAGAAGACCACCAAAAAAAAAAAAAAAAAAAAAAAAAGCTGAAAGGAAGCTAGTCCCTAAGCTGGAAATGAGAATGCTTAAGTGTAAATTTAGAGGAAGGAGGACTATTCCCCCTTTGAGTGGGTCTACTTCCTACAGGATACTTTGGAGACCCTGACCTCATTTCCCAACATGAAATAGGAGGATGATAGAGAAATTTTGTTTACCTGCAAGCTTTTAAACAAAACAAAGCAAAACCCTGCATCTTTGCTTTAGATATAAAATATTCTGGGGAGGGAGAAGGAATTTAATAAAAATAGCTATGATTTAATGCCACTTTTCTTGAATATTTTGACTTATCTTCATATAGTTTAAAAAAGATCTTTTAAGAACAATAGTGTAAATAGAGTGACTCTCCAACTTACCATCCTGTTACACAAATGTCCCATAAGGTTGTATCATTTATCTTGTTTGGAAATTGACCCAACTTTCTGACCCTGGTTCTATATATAGCTATAGATCCCAAAGGTCCTTAAGCTGCTGGGTTAGCATTTTGTCTGCTATTTCCCAAATAATGGTCAATAAACAGGAAAAATGCCAGTCTTGCTGGTCTCTGATTCTTGGTGGTTTATGACATGTTCAGGATAGTATTTGAAATGGGAGCTCATTACAATGTAATGGAATTTCCCTGCTTTTATTGTGTGTATAGCAAAAACAACATTTGGATCAATTTACAAGTTTCTGCAAAACACTGTCAAGAAATAATTTCAGTTGTGCTTTAACAAAAAAATAATGGATCTATGCTTTTTTGAATCCATCATTGAGCTTTGCTGGACACTTGACCTCAGGAGTAAGACTCCTGTTTGTAGCAAAGGCACTGCAGTGCTTTTGTTGTTCCTGCTGACTCTCCCTGCTACTACTCCAGGTGTGCAAGTGAGGACCATAACATCAGAGAGTAGCTCTATTTTCCAGAGCCCCCAGAGCTTCCTTTCTAAAAGTCTGTGTCTCCCACATGGAACCAGCTGGCATACCAGTTAACAGCCTATGATACACACATGCTTCCAGGATGGATCACGCATTTTGTCTGGAAACAAGCAACATGCTTTTCCTTTGCAGGCACTTTCCCCTTTTGGTTGCAATTTGAGTGGCTTATTGTGGGTGGGCTTGAGAGTGTGATGCCATGTAACCACTTGCACACTTCAAAACAATTGCTTTTTGTAATGCATGCTGTAATAACTAAAGCCTATACTTAAAAAATTTTAATGCAAAGAGGCAGACTTAAGTTTTCTATGTTTTTGAACCTTCAACAGCATGTACTGCATCCCTTGCGAAGGTCCTTGCCCCAAAGTCTGTGAAGAAGAGAAGAAAACAAAGACTATTGATTCTGTTACTTCTGCTCAGATGCTCCAAGGATGTACCATCTTCAAGGGCAATTTGCTCATTAATATCCGACGAGGCAGTAAGTATCCCACCTCACTGGATAGATGAATGGATGTCTTGGTTTTCTTTTGCTGATGTTTTTCCTGAACCTGTCTCTGAGTTACAACTAAAATAATGGGCTTAAGAAAAACAGCATGGTGCATAAACCTCCCACATGACCTCTTTCCTTGAGTTTCCTTCAAAGACTTAAAAAAAAAAGATTGAAAGGCAGTCTGTTTTTCCCATTGGCACAGTTTGTTCCTATAAAAGGGGTCATCCCTCATCTCACTGTTAGTCATATCTTACGCAGGAGAAACACGTACCAGCACACATGAACCCCAGAAGAGACTGAGGGATCAGAGAGGCATGACTCAGCTAGCCCAGCTGTAGCCAGATCCATATATTTTTAAGTCCAAAGAGTTTTGGTTACTTAAATATATTGAGACTGAGCAAAAGGAAGAGTTTAATATTATATTAAATTTTATTAAGTACAAAACAATGATAGATCTTCCAGTTTATTTCTAAGAGCCAAAACAATACAAATTGATTCTGAGTCATATGTGTAAAGCTTTGGTCTCACTCCTGTAGAACCATCTTTACTTTTTAGTAAATGGCATTCCTGGTAAGACATTTCTAAATTTCAGTTGGGCAAAGCATTTCCCAGTGATTTATCTTGCAATATTTTCCCTTCTGATGTTTGATTTTCAAGGGCTTCTATCAATGGTACCTTTAATTCTCTATCATTGGGACCACTTGGTCAAGGTACTGATAGTTTTATAAGCCAGAATAAATACAAGAAGAAGACTTCACAGTTGAAAGAAATATATTTATAAGTTCTTTGGTAAAAAAAAAAAAATTTCTGAGGGTTGGGGTTATGGCTCAATGGTAGAGCACTTGCCTAGCATGCATGAGGCCCTGAGTTCAATTCTCAGCACCACATATAAATAAATAAAATAATGGTCCATTGACAACCAAAACAATATTAAAACAAAAAAGATTTTTTTTTAATTTTCTAAAAGTCTAAAGAGAGAAGTGACTAATAATTTATTCTGCAGATTTACTTTTCCATCATATTTGTTTTCTTTTTTTTAAGTTTCATGTAATATTGTTTTTTTAGAATATTTTTTATTGTTAGTTGTTTAAAACATTACAAAGCTCTTGACATATCATATTTCATACATTTGATTCAAGTGGATTATGAACTCCCATTTTTACCCCGTATACAGATTGCAGAATCACATGGGTTACACATCCACGTTTTTACATACTGTCATACTAGTGTCTGTTGTATTCTGCTGCCCTTCCTATTCATATTTAGAGATAGAGAAATTTAGAGATAGCAGAAATCAGTTTTTGTTTGGTTCTTTGGGATTTTTTGATATCCCTTATTTACACCACTCACCCACTGCCCCACCATGGAGATAATCCTGTTCTGCGCAACTAGAACTCTTCGTGGTTCTTCTACAGTTGTGTTCTTTTTGCTCTTGGAACATTTCTTAGTTTACTTTCAATCTATTCATCCCTAGAACATGCCTTTTAAGTACCTAATTTTTTTGTTTGTTTGTTTAAACTTCCTTTCCTGGAGATAAAAATTGCATCTATGAATTAAATTCATGGAAAAGTACTTTGAAAATAAATTGGTACAGGATCATGCAGAATGAAGAAGTATGTCCAACACAGACAATCATTTGGATTTAGGATAATGGGACATTTTTGTCAGAAGGGAGTTCCCAAGCCTTAACTGAGAGATGTAGGGCAGGAAGCCCCACATCTAAAAATTCAAAAGCTATCCTTAAAACATCAATTACAAACAACCTCTTATCTTTCCAATTTAAATTTTCCTTTAATTTCTCTTGGAAAGCCATTAAACATGAGGCCTTATCCTCCAAGAAAGTATGCTTATTCTTGTATTTTTTAATCAAATCAATGCAAAACACAACCTTTTATTAAGCAAACCTTCATAAATCATAGTAAAGTTCTATAAAATCCTATTTGTTGAATCACATCTAATTCACTATAGTCATCATCATAATTTTGACATAGGCTGAACAAGTTTGTTTTCTTTTTGCTATGAGAAAAGGTAGGCTAATCAAGATTAAAGAAAATCTGCCATTTCTATTATATTATTTCTACATCTGTATTGACAACTATTTTTCTAACTATTTTCTAGTTATAAAAGTAAGACATGAGCATTATAAAAAACTTAGAGCTGCAGAAATGAGCCTTTAAAAATCACCTGCAGATAGCTGTTGTTAACATTCTGATGTATTTTCCTTCAGTCTTAGTAAGATAGAACCTTAAATGTAGATCCCTGTATCTTAGGAACTAGAAATACAGCAAAGGCAGTTACTAATGAGGCTGAGAAAATGTTGTTTATTTAGTCATGCCCTTGCACTGTGGAGGCAGTACTATCTGTTGACAGAGCATATTTAAAAGACGTTCCCTAGGCTTCTTGGAGCTTACACTTATAGGAGCTTACACCGAGCACAGAGCGGCCGAGTTCCGGCTCCCGGAACCGTCCCGGAACCGCCCTGGCTCAGGGCTGCGGAGCCCGCGGAGGCTGCTTCTTGGACCCTGCTACTATCAGAGCATACACCAAGCACTAAGCGGCCGAATTCCGGCTCCCAGAACTGAGCCCGCGGGGGCTGCTTCTTGGAGCTTACACTTATAGGAGCTTACACCGAGCACGGAGCGGCCGAGTTCCGGCTCCCGGAACTTCCCTGGACCGGGGCTAGGAGCCCGCGGAAACTGTGTCTCGGTCCGGGTCCTGCTGAGGGCAGGTCAGGACTCACCCATTGCTTGGGTTGCCTGGCAAGGGGAACGAAATGCTGCCATTCGCATAGGATACCAACATGGCAGAGATCTGATGTCAGCAGAAAGCGGTGGAGGAGAGATCTTCATCAATACCAGCGGTGACATAAGCAGTTGGTCTCCTGGTAAGGGGGGTGAGGCTCAGTCACCCGAGTCTCCTCAATTTGTCCTCGAGCCAGAGGGAAGGAGCCGGGCCGCCGCCAGCCCCCGGAGCAGGCCCAGCGGCTCGCCAGCGTGGTGACCGCGTGACCCCAATTGGAGAGGGGGCGGAGCGGAGCCGCCACCCACACCCGCCAGGTGGACAGACCCACGACCCAGTAGTACATGGGCGTGGTAGGAGGGGCAGGGCAGAGCCGCCCTTCGTGCTTGCAAGGTAAACAGACCTGTGACAGCCTGGCGGGTCAGGCCCAGTGGCCTGCCAGTGTGGTACACACGTCACCCCAACTCGAGTAGGGGCAGAGCAGATCCTTATCCCACGCCCGGATCAGGCCCTGCCGGTGTGGTGGTCACGTGACCCCAATTGGAGTGGGGGTGGAGCGGAACCGCCACCAGTGCCCGCAGGGTGAGCAGACCAGTGATCAACCTGCAGATCAGGCCCAGGGGTCCGCAGGCGTGGTAGGAGGGGCAGGGCAGATCCGCCGCCCGCGCCTTCAAGGTAGGCAGACCTACAACAGACCGGCGGATCAGGCCCAGGAGCCTGCCGGCGGGGTACAAACACCACCCTAATTGGAGTAGTGACAGAGCAGAGTCGCCTCCCTTGCCAGGAACAGACCCAGCATCCTGCAGGCGGGGTAGTCACGACACCCCAATTGCAGTAGGGGCAAAGCAGAGCCTCCACCCGTGCCCGAAAGGTGGGCAGATCTGCGACCGACCAGCGGGACAGGCCCAGTGGCCTGCTGGTACGACAGACACGTCACCCCAATTGGAGTAGGGGCAGAACAGAGCCGCCACCAGCTCCCAGAACAGGCCCAGTGACCTGCCGGCGTGGTAGCCACGACACCCCAATTGGAATAAGGAGAGAGCAGAGCCGCCGCCCGCACCTGCAGGAAAGATACGCAAGCAGTATGAAAAGACAAGGAAAGAAAGGACCACAAGCAATGCAGGTCAACGCAACTTTAGAAGAGGTAACAGCTGCAGCAGATGGAATGTCAGATAAAGAATTCAGGATATACATGCTTCAGATGATCTGGAGTATCAAGGAAGACATTAAACAGCAAAATCAGACAATGAAAGATCACTTCGACAACGAATTACGCAAACAAATCCAGGAAGCAAAGGATCAACTATACAGGGAGATAGAGGTTATAAAAAACAAGCAATCAGAAATCCTAGAAATGCAGGAAGCAATAAACCAACTTAAAAACTCAATGGAGAATACTACCAACAGAGTAGAACACTTAGAAGATAGAACATCAGACAATGAAGACAAAGTATTTCAACTGGAAAAGAACATAGACAGCTCAGCAAGACTGTTAAGAAACCATGAGCAGAACATCCAAGAAATATGGGATAACATTAAGAGACCAAACTTAAGAGTCATTGGGATACAGGAAGGTACAGAGCTCCAAACCAAAGGAATGAGCAGTCTATTCAATGAAATAATACAAGAAAACTTCCCAGACTTGAAGAATGAGACAGAATCCCAAATCCTAGAAGCCTACAGGACGCCGAATGTGCAAAATCATAAGAGATCCACACCTAGACACATTATAATGAAGATGCCCAACATACAGAATAAGGAGAGAATTTTAAAAGCTACAAGAGAAAGGAAGCAGATTACATTTAGGGGCAAGCCAATCAGGATAACAGCTGATCTTTCAACACAGACTCTGAAAGCTAGAAGATCCTGGAATAACATATTTCAAACACTGAAAGATAATGGGTTCCAACCAAGAATTGTGTATCCAGCGAAATTAAGCTTCAGGATGGAGAATGAAATTAAAACCTTCCACGATAAACAAAAGTTTAAAGAATTCGCAGCTAGAAAACCATCTCTTCAAAACATCCTAGCCAAAGTATTACAGGAAGAGGAAATGGAAAATAACAAAGAAAACCAACAGTGGGAGGTAGGACAGGAAAGGGGGGGGGGGAAACAATCAAAGAGGAAAACAAACAATGTTTAGTAACAGAAATAAACAAATATGGCTGGAAGAACAACCCATATCTCAATAATAACCCTAAATGTTAATGGCTTAAACTCACCAATTAAGAGACACAGGCTAGTAGAATGGATCACAAAACAAGACCCAACAATATGCTGCCTACAGGAGACGCATTTGATAGGAAAAGACATACATAGGCTGAAGGTGAAAGGTTGGGAAAAATCATATCACTCATATGGACTTCGGAAACAAGCAGGCGTGTCCATACTCATATCAAATAAAATAGATTTCAAGCCAAAGTTAATCAAAAGAGATAAAGAGGGACACTACATACTGCTTAAGGGAACCATACACCAACAAGACATAACAATCATAAATATTTATGCCCCAAACAATGGTGCAGCTATGTTCGTCAAACAAACTCTTCTCAAGTTCAAGAGTCTAATAGACCACCACACCATAATCATGGGAGACTTCAACACACCTCTCTCGCCACTGGACAGATCTTCCAAACAAAAGTTGAATAAGGAAACTATAGAACTCAATAACACTATTAATAACCTAGACCTAATTGACATATATAGAGTATACCACCCAACATCAAGCAGTTACACTTTTTTCTCAGCAGCACATGGATCCTTCTCAAAAATAGATCATATATTATGTCACAGGGCAACTCTTAGACAATATAAAGGAGTAGAGATATTACCATGCATCTTATCTGATCATAATGGAATGAAACTGAAAATCAACGATAAAAGAAGGAAGGAAAAAGCATACATCAATTGGAGAATGAACAATAGGTTACTGAATGATCAATGGGTTATAGAAGACATCAAGGAGGAAATTAAAAAATTCTTAGAGATAAATGAAAACACAGACACAACATATCGGAATCTATGGGACACATTGAAAGCAGTTCTAAGAGGAAAATTCATTGCTTGGAGTTCATTCCTTAAAAAAAGAAAAAACCAACAAATAAATGATCTCATACTTCATCTCAAAATCCTTGAAAAAGAAGAGCAAAACAACAGCAAAAGAAGTAGAAGGCAAGAAATAATTAAAATCAGAGCTGAAATTAATGAAATCGAAACAAAAGAAACAATTGAAAAAATTGACAAAACTAAAAGTTGGTTCTTTGAAAAAATAAACAAAATCGACAGACCCTTAGCGATGCTAGTGAAGAGAAGAAGAGAGAGAACTCAAATTACTAGCATACGGGATGAAAAAGGCAATATCACAACAGACACTTCAGAAATACAGAAGATAATCAAAAACTATTTTGAATCCTTATACTCCAATAAATTAGAAGATAGTGAAGGCATAGATAAGTTTCTTAAGTCATATGATCTGCCCAGATTGAGTCAGGAGGATATAGAAAACCTAAACAGACCAATATCAATTGAGGAGATAGAAGAAACCATAAAAAGACTACCAACTAAGAAAAGCCCAGGTCCCGATGGGTATACAGCAGAATTTTACAAAACCTTTAAAGAAGAACTAATACCAATACTTTTCAAGCTACTTCAGGAAATAGAAAAGGAGGGAGAACTTCCAAATTCATTCTATGAGGCCAACATCACCCTGATACCTAAACCAGACAAAGACACTTCAAAGAAAGAAAACTACAGACCAATATCTCTAATGAACCTATATGCAAAAATCCTCAATAAAATTCTGGCGAATCGGATACAAAAACATATAAAAAAAATTGTACACCATGATCAAGTAGGATTCATCCCTGGGATGCAAGGCTGGTTCAATATATGGAAATCAATAAATGTTATTCACCACATCAATAGACTTAAAAATAAGAACCATATGATCATCTCGATAGATGCGGAAAAAGCATTTGACAAAGTACAGCATCCCTTTATGTTCAAAACTCTAGAAAAACTAGGGATAACAGGAACATACCTCAATATTGTAAAAGCAATCTATGCTAAGCCTCAGGCTAGCATTATTCTGAATGGAGAAAAACTGAAGGCATTCCCTCTAAAATCTGGAACAAGACAGGGATGCCCTCTCTCTCCACTTCTCTTCAACATAGTTCTCGAAACACTGGCCAGAGCAATTAGACAGACGAAAGAAATTAAAGGCATAAAAATAGGAAAAGAAGAAATTAAATTATCACTATTTGCAGATGATATGATTCTATATCTAGCAGACCCAAAAGGCTCTACAAAGAAACTATTAGAGCTAATAAATGAATTCAGCAAAGTGGCAGGATTTAAAATCAACACGCATAAATCAAAGGCATTCCTGTATATCAGCGACAAATCCTCTGAAATGGAAATGAGGACAACCACTCCATTCAAAATATCTTCAAAAAAAATAAAATACTTGGGAATCAACCTAACAAAAGAGGTGAAAGACTTATACAATGAAAACTACAGAACCCTAAAGAGAGAAATAGAAGAAGATCTTAGAAGATGGAAAAATATACCCTGTTCATGGATAGGCAGAACTAACATCATCAAAATGGCGATATTACCAAAAGTTCTCTATAGGTTTAATGCAATGCCAATCAAAATCCCAATGGCATTTCTTGTAGAAATAGAGAAAGCAATCATGAAATTCATATGGAAAAATAAAAGACCCAGAATAGCAAAAACAATGCTAAGCAAGAAGTGTGAATCAGGCGGTATAGCGATACCAGACTTCAAACTATACTACAGAGCAATAGTAACAAAAACAGCATGGTACTGGTACCAAAACAGGCGTGTGGACCAATGGTACAGAATAGAGGACACAGAAACCAATCCACAAAACTACAACTATCTTATATTTGATAAAGGGGCTAAAAGCATGCAATGGAGGAAGGATAGCATCTTCAACAAATGGTGCTGGGAAAACTGGAAATCCATATGCAACAAAATGAAACTGAATCCCTTTCTCTCGCCATGCACAAAAGTGAATTCAAAATGGATCAAGGAACTTGATATCAAATCAGAGACGCGCCGTCTGATAGAAGAAAAAGTTGGCTACGATCTACAGTCGGTGGGGTCGGGCTCCAAATTCCTCAATAGGACACCCATAGCACAAAAGTTAATAACTAGAATCAACAAATGGGACTTACTCAAACTAAGAAGTTTTTTCTCAGCAAAAGAAACAATAAGAGAGGTAAATAGGGAGCCTACATCCTGGGAACAAATCTTTACTCCTCACACTTCAGATAGAGCCCTAATATCCAGAGTATACAAAGAACTCAAAAAATTAGACAATAAGAGAACAAACAACCCAATCAACAAATGGGCCAAGGACCTGAACAGACACTTCACAGAGGAGGACATACAGTCAATCAACAAGTACATGAAAAAATGCTCAACATCTCTAGCTGTCAGAGAAATGCAAATCAAAACCACCCTAAGATACCATCTCACTCCAGTAAGATTGGCAGCCATTAGGAAGTCAAACAACAACAAGTGCTGGCGAGGATGTGGGGAAAAGGGTACACTTGTACATTGCTGGTGGGACTGCAGATTGGTGCAGCCAATTTGGAAAGCAGTATGGAGATTTCTTGGAAAGCTGGGAATGGAGCCACCATTTGACCCAGCTATTCCCCTTCTTGGTCTATTCCCTAAAGACCTAAAAAGAGCATGCTACAGGGACACTGCTACATCGATGTTCATAGCAGCACAGTTCACAATAGCAAGACTGTGGAACCAACCTAGATGCCCTTCAATAGACGAATGGATAAAAAAAATGTGGCATTTATACACAATGGAGTATTACTCTGCATTAAAAAATGACAAAATCATAGAATTTACAGGGAAATGGATGGCATTAGAGCAGATTATGCTAAGTGAAGCTAGCCAATCCCTAAAAAACAAATGCCAAATGTCTTCTTTGATATAAGGAAAGTAACTAAGAACAGAGTAGGGACGAAGAACAGGAGAAGAAGATTAACATTTAACAGGGATGAGAGGTGGGAGGGAAAGGGAGAGAGAAGGTAAATTGCACGGTAATGGAAGGAGACCCTCAGGGTTATACAGTGGAGGGGGTAGAGAGAGAGGAGGGGAGGGGAGGGGAGAGGTGGGGAGGGGGGAGGGTGGATGATGGGAAAGGCAGCGGAGCACAACAGACACTAGTATGGCAATTTGTAAATCAATGGATGTGTAACTGATGTGAATCTGCAATCTGTGTATGGGGTGAAGGTGGGAGTTCATAACCCACTAGAATCAAAGTGTGGAATATGATATGTCAAGAAATTTGTAATGTTTTGAACAACCCACAATAAAAAATTAAAAAAAAAAAAATAAATAAATAAAAAAAAATAAAAATAAAAGACGTTCCCTAGATTTGTCAGCCTTAGCTAATTGGCAGTCTGGTATTTATGATTTTGCATTTTGTTAATCAGCCTGGGAACTGTAGAACCCAGCCTCCTAAGATTTGCTTTCCTCTGCTTCAGAGGCCTGTCCCAGAAGTGGCTGTTGAAAGTTAAAGCTAGGAGAGTACATTCTTGACAGGGGATGGCAGTTTTTTTTTATTTTTGTTTTTTGGGGTTTTTGTTGTTGTTGTTGTTTGTTTTGGGGGGTTTTTTTGGTATCAACTGAACTGAACCCAAGGTGCTCAACCACTGAGCCACATCCCCAGCGCTTTTTGTATTTTATTTAGAGACAGGGTCTCACTGAGTTCCTTAAAGTCTCACTAAATTGCTGAGAATGGCTTTGAACTCTCTATCCTCCTGCCTCAGCCTCCAGAGCCACTGGGATTACAGGCATGTATCTCTGCGCCCAGCTACAGGGGATGGCAGTTCTAATTCTTGGCTCCTGAACATCTCAGTAGGCTCCCACAAAACAAGTCCTGCCACCAAATTGCTCTCCACACTGTGTGTGTACATCACTCTGACACCAAGTAACACCATCCGTTTCTCATGTAGATAACATTGCCTCAGAACTGGAGAACTTCATGGGGCTCATCGAGGTGGTGACCGGCTATGTGAAGATCCGCCATTCCCATGCCTTGGTCTCCTTGTCCTTCCTTAAGAACCTTCGCCAGATCTTAGGGGAGGAGCAACTGGAAGGGTGAGTGCTCCAGGTTTCATTCCCTAATCTTCTCCTATTCCTTAACCTTCTCCTATTACAAAGTAAGTAATTGTTCATACAACCATGTAACTAAAGTCAGAGACATTCCTTGTTAAATAGAAGAAAGAGAAAGCCACAGGATTGTCCCAGCTGCCTGGGTGATGGTCTACATCCCTGCTCAAGGTCTTGCATAGAGTCATGATTCTCCATTCTGGGATGTTGCTGTTTTGGAAAATAGATATTTTCATGCTTACTGGGTTGGAACCCATCCATCAGGAGTTGCAAGGCTAACTGTAGCCAGGGAGACAGCAACCAGGGATTCTCTTGGAGCCTCTTCTTGCCAAGAATGATAGCAGTCAGTCTAAAGTGTTTAACTCCCAGTGAAATCATTATTTACATGACCCTTATATGCTTCAGGATGCTGTGCTCTACTATGTAAAAATCATTCTATCTTGTAAAATATTGGGACATAAGAGACTTGGAAAAGTGTAGAAAATTCATTTTGTTATAAAGAAATTATTTTTTTAATTTTTTGGTTTTATTTTTTAGTCGTTGATAGACCTTTATTTATATATGGTGCTGAGAATCGAACCCAGTGCCCCACACATGCCCAGCAAGTGCACTACCAATGAGCCACAGCCACAGCCCCTATAAAGAAATTTTGGTGCACAAAATTTTTTTAATTGTTTAGCTTATAGGATTTGCACTATTGATAGGATTTTTGCCTTCTGCAGAGATACACTTTGTGATGAGATTTTAGAATAATCATGAACTAGACTGGGGTTGTGGCTCACAAGTAGAGTGCTCACCTAGCACATGCAAGGCCCTGGGTTCAATCCTCAGTACCACATAAAAATAAATAAATAAAATGAAGGTATTGGGTTGGGGATGTGGCTCGAGCGGTAGCGCGCTCGCCTGGCATGCGTGTGGCCCGGGTTCAGTCCTCAGCACCACATACAAACTAAGATGTTATGTCTGCCGAAAGCTAAAAAATAAATATTAAAAAATTCTCTCTCTCTCTCTCTCTCTCTCTCTTTAAAAAAAAGTAAGAATAAACATGGGCTTTTAATCGGAGGATAAAAGCTGGTGCTCACTGTATACACAGTTTCTTGTTTCTCTCTGGTCATTAACCTGTGTATACCTTTGCATATGTCATTTTCTTGTCCAGGCTCTTGCCTTTCCTTAAGCTGATGCTTGGGAATAAAAAGGATCCCTCAATTAAGGAGTGAATTCCTTCTATAGAGAATTTGGGGAAATCATTTAGGAAACAAAAAGAGGTGGGAAGGTCATGGGAAAGGTTGTCCTAGCTGATTTATCTGCCCCAACTGGATAAAGTTACTGCATAAGGGTTTCTTTACAGCTTCCCAGTTTTTTTCAGCCTAACTCTTGGTGAGTCTTAAATTCTTCAAATTCCGTCATCTGATACTGCTAAAGAGAAGACAGCTTTTCATTCCATCCTTGAAAATCACACTGTCCTCCCCACTGGGAACACTGATTCTTGAGAAGAACTTCTTTCTCCTTGCAGATCCATGGAGGCTGTCACTGTGCCCATCAGTGTGGTAGTCATTTCTGTGGTAAACTGGTGGGGGGCTCTGCCCATGTGAGGTGATAGCCTTTGTTCATTATGTTGATTTTAAAAAAAATTTTTTTTAGTTGTAGATGAATACAATAATTTTGTTTATTTATTTATTTTATTATTTTTTTAATGTGGTGCTGAGGTTTGATCCCTCACAGATGCTAGGCAAGCGCTCTACCACTGAGCTACAACCTCAGCTCCATTATATTAAATTGTAATACGAAGTTTGCCTACTTTTTTCCCCCCCTTCAAGTAGATTTGTTTCTGGAATTCCTGGTACCAGTAAAGACTTTTTCCTTGGCAGACTGATATTTGTCAAATTTTCTGAGCAAGTAATAGCATAGAGGAGAAAACTGAAAAGAAACTTTAATTTTATTAGGAATTATTACATGGTTTTATTACCTCTTCGCTGTGCATTAACTAAAATTATTATGCTGAAATTGAAACTGATTTTTATTTGCAAGGATATTTATAATGCATTTCTTATTATTGAAACTTGCATAAAGCAAAGTATCAGTGGGTTCTCTTTAAGGATGCATGTATTAGGGAGGTTTCCCAGGTAAATGTCAGCCCCTGGTCTGCAGTTAGCATTTTAGACAATAAGCGAGGACAGATGGGCCTCAGCTTTTCTCAACTTCAGGCTACTTTCTTAGAGTCTGTCTCTTTAGCTCTTATGATTCTTATCTCTCTTTGATGTGTATTATATTCTCTCACCTGCCTTCCTTACTCTGAAAGGCGTAGCTCATTTTCATTGTAATAAGATGAACCCCCCAAGAGTTCTGTTTCAGGAGTGACCAGTGGCAACAATTCACCTCTTTGTTTCTCCTTCTTAGACTTAGGGATGGGTTAGGCTCTGCCCCTTCTCCTCTTCCCTGTTTCTTCTATAAGAAGGAAAAAGTCTGGAAAAGAAGAAAGGGGCATAGCAGACAGATGAATTTCAACAGTGCAAAGCACACCTTGTAGGGTGCTCCAGGGGAAAGAAAGGAATGTGCCCTGGGCACAGAAAAGAGCTAATCTGATGGAGGAGATCAGACAGGCTTTCCAAAAGAGGTGGCATTTGAGATGGGTCTTGAAGACTTTCAGGAAACACAGGCCATTCAGGGAAAGGGAGCAGGAGCAAAGGCAATGAGTCAGGGCATCCTGGTACCTGATTGGCAAATAACACTGGGAGATAGTTGGTACTAAAATTATGTAAGATGTTGTTGAACCCAGGTGTGGAGGTTATAATTTAGGTAGACTGTGGAACAAATGCAAGGCTTTATAGTACAGGAGTCTTAACAGTGCTGTCTGGATTTTAATTTCAGTGTATTTTGGGTATAAAGCAGGATACTTTTTATCCCAGTTTTTCCCAAATTTTGTTGCTCATTAGACTCATGGGACCCAGAGGGTGGACTTTCAAGAAATCCTGATGCCCAATTGCATCCCAAGCCATTTTAATCAGAATGTTAAGGAGGTGGGTAATTCGACCATCAGTTCTTTTTAAAAGATTTCTAGGTATTTTTTGCATGCAGGAAAGATTGGAAACCACCATTTTATTTCTTTAAATCTTCTCATGTATCTCCAGAGCACTTGGACTTTAAAACATGTATTAATGTGGACTTTAAAATAAAAATACACGCGTGCGCACGCACGCACGTGTGTGTGTGTGTGTGTGTGTGTGTGTGTATTTACATTGCTTCCTTCAAAGACTATATTCCTCAAACCTTTCTTATAGTTGGTGAGAAAACAAATGTTTCTATTTGGTTCAATAGGATGAAAGTTCTGTAGCATTTTGTATCACAACCATGGTGAGCTGGATTTGTGACCTAATTTTCAGGCTGGGGACAGGCAGGGGCAGAATCTCATAAGAACAGGTAGATGATCAGTCACCCAAGGACTGGGTCCAGATGGCATCAGGTGATCATTGGTTTGACCAGAAGAACTCAGACATCCATGGTTTCCTAGGGGATATCACTCTGTGTTCTAGAGTAATGACATTAGAGAGTTTAAAAATCAAGAGTTTTTTTGTCTGGTTTGATTTGATTTTTTTTGGTTTTTGGGTTTTGTTGTTGTTATTGTTATTGTTTTTTGTTTGTTTGTTTTTGGTTTTTTTGCAGTTTGTAATCCAAAAAGGAAATTTGTTTGTAATCCACATATTCACAATTTCTGTAATTTTTAAACCCTTGAATAACTATTATCTGGAAGATTCCCTTATTGGAATAACCTTATATTCTGATGCTGTCAGATCAATAAGGAGTTAAAATTTCCAATTCATTGATGCTACTAAGGACTGTTATCTTGAAAAGAATAAAAGTACATGAAGGTGGTAGAATATAAAAATTAAAACTTCTAGGGGCTGGGGTTGTGGCTCAGTGGTAGAGTGTTCACCTAGTTCGATCCTCAGCACCACATAAACATAAAATAAAGATATTGTGTCAACCTAAAAAATAAGTATTTAAAAAAAATCAAAACTTCTAGATGCATTTAGGCATCTCTGTGCCTGTATCCCTGCCTCTTGACTTTGTTATATTGCTTCATACTACCTTCTTGGAGCTCTGAGTTTAGGCTAAACATGGCTATACTTTAGCACTTCCCTGGAACTTTTAAAAATATGTATATAAACCATGTGTCCCAGAAATTCCAGGATTTACCCAGCATCTACCCAAAAGAAATTAAAACATGCCTATGCAAGATTTATACATAAATATTCATGGGACTATTATTCATAATAGGCCCCCTTCCAAAAAAAAAAAAAAAAAAAGCAGCCCATTGGAAAAAGTCCAGATGTTCATCAACAGATGAATGGATAAACAAAATGTGACACATGGGACAGTATTCAACAACAAAAAGGAATGCAGTGTGATACATGTAATAACAGGAGTGAACTTCAGAAACATTAGGCTAAGTGGAAAAAAAAAAAAGACAAAAGGCTACATGTCATTTGGTTCCTTGCTATATACTTTCTAGAAAGAAAACAGACCGCAGATAGTGGAGACATCAGATAATGGTGGGCTGGGGCTAGGAGTGGAGATTAACCACCAGTTGGAACCAAAGAGTTTTGTGGGTTTTTTTTATTTTTTTCCTTAGTTGTAATTGGACACAATACCTTTATTTTATTTATTTATTTTTATATGATGCTGAGGATCAAACCCAGTGCCTCGCATAGGCTAGGTGAGCGCTCTACCTCTGAGCCACAACCCCAGCCCCCCCAGGGAGCTTTTTAGTGATGGAAATGTTCTGAAACTGGGCAGTGTTGAGGATTAGACCATAGCTCATGAAATCATACACTTATTATATTTAAGTGAAGCTGTATTTAAGAAAACACCTAACAAAGAAGAAATGTTTTCTAACTATCCATGTGATGTCTGGTTCTACCTGTAGGCACATTTCTACTCTTGCTGAGCCCCCATAAGTGGTGAAACACTGGATTTTGGTGAGAGTGGATGTGGTGTAAGCCAGCCATCTGCAGATAGTTTGGAGGGAGCATCTGTGAAAAGGCCAAGTCTTGTATCATTGCAGACTGCTTGGTGCTGTGATCGTTCCGTGCACTGGGTTCTGATGCCCTCTAGAGACAGCTATCAGGAGGCAGCAGTTTCTCCTCAGAGAAATGAACAGGAATTGTCAGATGTGTATTTGCAGATTTTCTTTCAATATGTCAGCAAGGGCTTAAAAGGGGTAATGTTCCTTCCTACCTCCAAAGGCTGCAGACCTCAGGCTCAGCCCTGAGTGTCAAAGCCCTGAGTGTCAAGGCGCAAGACTTGCCTGTTCTTTATGACTTTGTTCTGAGGGACTTTGGCACTTCAGAGAGCAGAACAGGTCATCCCACACCTTTGTGAGGTGATTCAAAGCTCACAGTATCCTTTTATATTTAGCTCATCTGATTCTTCCTACTGGCCTCTGGGCCAGAAAAGAACAGGGAAGACACCTCCCATTTGCAGCTGAGAAACTCCAACCTGGGAGAAGCTGAATAAACTGCCCAGAGTTGTTACTTAGTAAGCAGTGGAGATGAGGCTCAGACCTGATCTTTATATTCCCATACTGAATGCTCTGAACCCTCTCCCTGGCGCTGTCTCCCAAGTACCACTCAGATCCCCAGCATTGGTGCTTTCTTTGCTCCCCACTTTTTCTGCAGTGTGTGTGGGGTGTGCTGACACTTGAGAAGGAGGACAACTCCAAGATGGTAGCCACAGATGACACAATCGAATGTGTACTATGTGCTGGGTAGACATTTAGAATATCCATACTGATGCCATAAAGATGCCCTCCAGGTGATAAGCAACCACTCCCAACCCACCTCACTTGGTCTACAATTGACTGACAGGACCCATCTGAGTAGAGAAACAAATTTTTTTTTTTTTTTTTTTTTTGCAATATCAAGTAGTCTGAGAGCCAAGATACTAATAGCAGTAAAACCTTGGCATCACAGAGCCTGTGGGAATTAAATAAACAAATAACAAAACTTTTAAAAATATTCTATGAATGTAAAAGCAGTGAGCTTAGAAACAATTTTGAAATCACATTTACTGAGTAATTTCCTTTAAAATATTCATTTCCTTTAGGAAACAATGAAAGTCTCAGTGTTTTTATATGTTGAAGATGTACAGACAGGTCTCTGCCTTGTAGTGTCTCCTCATTTTCACCTAATTATGTTAGGAATTTGTGGGGAGCAGGGACCCAAGCTGGGAATGGAAAAACAAGAGCAGTATTGACAGGCAGCTCATGAATGGCTTGATTATTATTTTGATGAGGGTTTTATTTTCCTTTTTCTTTAGCTTCATAATGCCTGAGTTTTGTTGATATTGGTATCCTGGCTCCCAGCCTTCTCAACATTGTAAAAAAATGTTTGTGTTTACTGTAAAAAGATAATCTTGCTTTTCAAAGTGATTAATCAAATACATGGAATTTCAGTGTGCCTGCCATTCATATGTCAAATTCCTGGTTTATAATTCATGCTTCCTCCCATGGGGAGAAGAATGTTTTGTTCAGAAGGTATTTTCAGTGCAGTTCTATTTCTTGCTAGGAAAATTGGTTTACTGAAATAATCCTCATCCTGGATTGAGATGGAAGTTTGACCTGATTAATGGGTCCTTACACCTGGCCTGTAGGTTTCTTCAGAGCAATAAAGGGATTTTGTACCTGTGACTATCACGGGTACCTTGGAGCAGCCAGACCCATCAGGGTTAACAATGACACTGCAGTCTCCTTTGGAGCTAGAAATATTCCTTGAGCAAGAATGGACTTATGATAGGACAAATCTATTTCCACCTCTGCACCCCTTCTTCAGTTGGATAATTGTACTGAATGCCCTAATCAGCCTTGAGATAGTGGATGTGGATGGGCTCTGCCCCCAAGGACAGCAGATCTGATCAGGCTGAGTCCCAGGACAGCCCCAGGATACATGATCTTATATTGCAGTCTAGATTTATTTGGACAATGTTCTTAGGTTCTTTTCCAGCACATAGATATGTGAAGGAAAGAACTCTTACTGAAAGGGAAGAAATGTTGACTTGCAGGAGTTTATCACTCATTTGGTGACCACTAATGTTCCCACAGGACTAAAGATGGGTCTGTGAGATGCCTGGCCTGGTTTCAGAGGTGCTGACTTTGGGCTTACTTGCTGGTTCACTGAGCCCTGCATGTCAGGGCCCTACACACACACACACACACACACACACATACACACACACACACACCCTGTGTGCACAGAGGGCCCAGTGCTCAGAGAGGACTAGGACTTCAAGCTAGAGGGCCAGACCCTATCTCAGCTCTCTAATTCCTCTGGACATTAGGACTCTTAAAAGTCAACAAGGAGCTCAAATGTCACTTGTTCATGTCCCTTCCGTAAGTGAGAAAAAGGTGCTACAAATAGCACTAAAGGGCTTGCCTCAGGGTCCTTCAACTCATTAATGGCATTTCTGGTCCTTGGGTTTTGTCTCTGAACTTCCTTCTGGTATGAACTCCCTTGTGAATTCTTAAGGAAATTTCAAGACTGCTTGACAGCATTGTAATTATAATTCATGCTTTGCCCTAGATGAGACTCAGGCTGGGGATGGATCAGGATGAGCCAAGGTCCTGGTTTTGGTATAATACAGGATGATCCTAGTTTTGGTATAATACAGCCCCTCAGCAGGTGCAGAGGTAGGAGAGGACTTCAAGGTTCTCTTTTGTCCTGGTTATTCCTGGCTTTGGAGAGAGGGCCAAGGTTCTTTTCTCTGCATGTTTGTTATTGGTCTGTGAGTAGATCTCAGAAATAGCTCAAAGAACTGTCTAAGTCCTAAGCTCTGAGAGAACCTGAAGAAATCTGAGACTTGGACACCAGAGGAAGAGAGGAAGGATTCAAGGTCCTTAGGGAACTGACCCGTCAACACAGAGGACTCAGACCGATAGCCATGGTGTTGCTTGCTAGTTACCTGAGGGGGAGATATTTTAGTCAGCTTTTTTTGCTGCTATGACTAAAGGATCTGATAAGAACAATTGGAGAGGAGGAAGAGGGCTCATGGTTTCAGAGATCTTAGACCATAGAAGGCTGGCTCCATTCCTCAGGGCTCAAAGTAAGACTAAACAACATGGCAGGAGAACTGGAGGAGAAAAGCAGCTCACATCATGGTGATCAAGAAGCAGAGAGTTCACTTTCCAGATACACATATATACACCAAAGCCACTCCCCAATTCTCCCCTTCTCCAGGCACACCATACCACTTCAGTTACCACTGTTAATCCCTATCAGGGATTAAATCACTGATTGGGTTAAGACTCTTACAACCCAATCATTTCTCTTCTGAACCTTCTTGCATTGTCTTACACATGAGCTTTTCGGGGACACCTCATATCCAAACCATAACAGGAGGGATGGGGTACAAAAGAGAAAGATCTATTAGAGGGATCTTTCTTCAGACCTTCAAGTTTTCACCTGTCCCCCCCCACCACCCAGACATGGGTTTCTCCTGACACCAGGGTCCTGCTGGTTGTCCCCACATCTTCCCTTTGGTGGACAACTTGAGAATTGGGGGAGGAGCCATGTCCAGTCTGGTGGGCTCTGGGCCTCCAGCATCTTGCTGGAGTTCACCTGGCTCATGTTAGAGAGGCAATTCTCTACGTTAGATCTCTGCAGAGGGCCCTGCACTCTAAAAATAAACTTGGTTCACATCAAATTTGAAGAACCACTGTGTTGGACGCACAGTCCTGCTGCATCAATGAGAGGCCCAGGGTGGGGGACTACCTATCAGAAACATTTCTCCACCCCCATACCTCCAGGCATTGAAGCTAGGGCTTCTCTGGGTAAAAAATAAAAGTAGAGGAGGAAGCAACCTAGTATTGGTCCTACCCCAGCCCCTGTCTCTCATCTCATCGTGTGCTGCTTATTGGGCATGGGTAGGATTTACTCTCAGGGATAATGGGAGATTTTGCAGCAAATATGTAAGCTGTTCTGGTTGGGCAGTGAAGCGTGTCTGTTCTCCCATGGACTGATTTCAAGTGCATCGTACACACCTGGCTCTGAGAAAAAATAACCAAAGACATTTTTAGGGAATGATCTGAGGAGCATTTTCCCATGTGAGAAGCTTTATATGTTGGTAATGGATGTCATCAAATTAATTAGTGTCCTATTGATTTCAATATGTTGTCCTTGACTCATGCTGTTGTCATTGTTATCAGCAGCTATCTGCTCTTACATGGCATCAATAAGTAAATCTCTTATTGGTAAAGGAAATGTGTTATGGCATGACACACATGGTAAAGAGGACCTGTGTTGGGTGGGGCCAGCATGCTGGAGGTGGAACATGGACATGAGCAGGTACAATAATGTCGATTTCTGTGCTTCCAGGAACTATTCCTTCTATGTCTTGGATAACCAGAACTTGCAGCAGCTGTGGGACTGGGACCACCGCAACCTGACCATCAAATCTGGGAAAATGTACTTTGCTTTCAATCCCAAACTGTGTGTTTCTGAAATTTACCGCATGGAGGAAGTAACAGGGACAAAAGGGCGCCAAAGCAAAGGAGACATAAACACCAGAAACAATGGAGAAAGAGCCTCCTGTGAGTGACAACATTCAAACCACAGTGGCTCTTTCAGCCCTGATAACCAATGACCCCTCTTCCAATAGGAATATGTGTTTCTGGGCAGCCACTCCCACCCATCTCTGATCCCCTGTTGCCTCTCATTTCTCTTGAGGTATGTCAGGCCACCTTAGCTAGCACCTTGCTGCCACAGTCAGTAGTGGGCAGATTGCTGATATATTCACGTTGATACATTTTCCTGAGCATCTGCATCAGTGCGTTCAACATTTATAAATAGGTTAGTACTCAGATTCTGAAGGGGTAATCACTGAATACACAGTGAAATATCTTTCTCTGCACCAGGACAAAGATTTTTTTTTTTTTTTTGTCAAAGAAGAGCCAGCACACTTGAGTCTGGGGCAGGCCAGCTCTGCCCTTCTCCCAAGGATCAGGGCAGAGGCCTGGGGATAGAAGGAGCTCAACCGCAAGAAAACCACTGTGGGCCCTGGGCTGCTCGCTCTCACTCACCTCTGCCTCGTTTCCCCCACCAATACCAAAAAGATGGAGTGAGCCTGCTTCTTTGAGTCCATATACTTTTAAAATTTTGAACAATATAATTTAACACTGTTCTGGTGATACAATTTTCACTTTATGCTCTCATAGATATGAAGCTCAGCTTCTGTTAAACCAGCTGTTCTTTAAGTGTGGTCCTAGGCCTGGGATGTCACAGAATGCTTCTCCTTTAACCCTGTATGAAAACTGCTTTAAAAGCATTGTGGCTCTTTTTGGATTGATAGGATTTTAAGAGCTAATTTTCTCACTGCCTTTAGCTTTAAAATGTTAGGAAATAAATAGTAATTTATATGTTAGGGAGTGATTTGCGTGCATGTACACACACAGAAAACTGAATCTATAAATTGTTTAGCATCTAGTCCTAGCTTATTTTGTAGGTGTTCGGATTTATCTGGTAGATACTCAGATAGCCAGAGTTTTAGAGGGAAGAGATGTGAGCTAGAGGTAGAGAGCATGTTTATAGCTAGCGCCTTCACCTCCCCTCCAACACCCTGACTTGCTCCCTGTTTAGGCCATAGGCAAATGGATATATCAGAGCATTTTCAAAGCCAGGCAGCCTGACCTGTCAGCTCATGAATATGAAACCATTTATTTTCCTTCAAAAACACAATCGGGGTTTTCTCTCTAAATAACACTTCAACGGAATCTGCAACATTTCCCACATCCCAGTTGAGCACATTTTGCTCCAAGGTCTATGTAGTGTCTTTTTGCCTTCCAACCCTGTGCTCCACCTCCGTGGTATGCAAAGTCAGGCAAACATAGGGCAAAGGACACCTGGTTGGAGATTTTCATGTTTCCTTCAGGGTAGTAGCTATTGGTCCTCTCTGGTTCTTTTTATACTTGGAATCTGGTGTAAAGAACAAGAGAGGCTTGGGCCAGCTTTTTTGCTGCACCCTACCAGCCAAGGTGTACCTTCTCCAGAGCACAGAGAGTTCTGCCAGGGCAATAGTTCTTTTCAGTACTTAATCTAATGCAGGTTTCTAGCTGGCCTTCAAAGAGTTTCGTTGTTCTTTAAGGTTGACACCCAGTTTAGACTTAAGAAAATCTCCTTTCTGTGGCTCACCTGAGGTAGTGTACATGCCTTCGCTGATTGCACAGAAGCAAGCAGATACCAGCAGAACAAGTGCCATCCTCTCTAAAAAGACTTGCTCCAGCTTAAAGGTTTACTCTCACTTAACCAAATCCCCTTTGGCAGCCAGTGTGTAAAGGATAGGCCATCTTGTTCACTGAAGTGGCCCTTCTCTCAGGTTAAGAAACACAGGGTCACATAATTCCTGGGCATGTGGCCAGTGCAACTAACTAAACTAAAATGAAGTAATGGACCTTCATATGAGTTCTACATAGTGAAATACTAAATTCTCAGTGGAAAATAAGAAAGCCACCTACAAAGTCCAGAAAGAGAGTTAGTATGTACTACCAGGTTTAGGGAAAAGAATAGTGCCCAGACAAGTATCTTTTCAGAGATGCATGTATCTCTATCACTCATGAGATACCTCTGTGTCCAGGTGAAAGTGATGTCCTACATTTCACATCCACCACCACGTGGAAGAACCGCATTATCATAACCTGGCACCGGTACCGGCCCCCGGACTACAGGGATCTCATCAGCTTCACTGTTTACTACAAGGAGGCGTGAGTTTCTGCATTTCATGATGTCATTCTTTTGGCAGGGCTGGGAGTGGGCATGGTCAGTCCTTTGGTCATTGCATGCCTTGGCTGAACAGGAAGCCAATGGGTTCCCCATGCAGAACCAAGCCAAATATTCAATTTCATCCTCATGTATCCTCCTTAGCTCTCAGGCAACATTGATTCTAGTTGGTGACAGCCATAAACAGGAAAGTATCAGCTTGAGCTTTTCATTGTTTATTGGTAATTAGAGATGTTTGAATAAGTTCAACCCAAAGGGGGAAAATCTTTGTGTTTCAGAGAATTGGGTCAGTCCAAACTGTCATAAACTGTGATGAGCACATGTGATGCCCATGAACACCTACTCTAGGAACAACCTGCAGGAGTATGACCCTAGACTGCTCCCTTGTCTTTTTCCAGACATTATATCTATGGGCCTCTTCCAGTCTCTGCTCAAGGTCATGAGCCCTTCAAACAAGTGAATGAGAATGTAGAGAAACTGACCTTCATATGTTCAGCATTTTGTGACTTCTCCCTGAATGTGCTGGGGCTTTTTCTTGTGTACAGATGGCATTCACCTACCTGTTAAGCCATGACTTATTCTTACAGATTGCAATCTCTCCTTGGTCTCCTTCTCTCCTTTGCTTCCTGTATTTGAGTGATTCCCCCAGTCAATCATCTCCTTATCCAGGTTCCATCTCAAAGCATAAATCTCTTTTCCAGATGCTTGGCTTCCCAAGAGCCAAGCAGCAATGGCAGCACCTGGCACACTTCTCTCTGCTGGAGTTAGGGGTCCTAGGAATTGGTATAGCCAGCAAATAATAGGGAGCTCAGAATTACTAGGCATTCAGTGTTTGTATACATAACAGTCCCTTATGACAGCAGGCAGGTTAATGTCTGTTTCAGAAGCCAGTGGCCAGAGGCACTTTCATCTCATATATATAGAATCCCTATTCAATCATACATCCATGTAAAATACTCCATTCTCTTTGAAGATCCTACCAATACTGGCAGTGTCAGCTGGTAATTTCACTAAGGAATAAATTTTTGCTAGTTTCTGAAACAATCTGATATTTAAATATTATAAGTTACTTAAGCATCAAAATGGGCTGTGAACAATTTAAATTTTAGAAGCAATTCTTTTTTAATGTAGAAATGTCAGTTTTATCTCCAAGTTATCCTTTATCAATATCTGATGTTTGCATTTAATAGACTGTGTTTGTTTTTTCTTAATGATGGAAAAAATGTTGCAATTCAGAAGAGAAAAAAATAGTATTTGCATGTCTTAAGGAGCAGCATCTTCAATCACAGTAACATAGTACTTGCCCCCTTCCTGAGACTGAGTACTCATTCTGTAGTGCATAACTGTGATGAACCCAGAGACCAGTTTCTTCTGTACAAGTATAATTATTAGTTTTTATTTGGAATTCCCACTATAGAAAGTGTTACATGCTCAGCATTTGGGGAAGGTTCTTGAGAGCATTGACATCAGAGCCCTGAAATATTCTCTGCACTTGGTTGATTGTCTTTCAGACCCTTTAAAAATGTCACAGAATATGATGGGCAGGATGCCTGTGGCTCCAATAGCTGGAACATGGTGGACGTGGACCTCCCTCCCAACAAAGATGTGGAACCTGGCATTTTACTGCATGGGCTGAAGCCCTGGACTCAATACGCAGTCTATGTCAAGGCCGTGACCCTCACCATGGTGGAGAATGACCACATTCGTGGGGCCAAGAGTGAAATCTTGTACATTCGTACCAATGCTTCAGGTATCTACAAATCAGACACACCCCCATCTCCTGCCTCTTTATGACCTGTTGTACTTGGATAGACAAGGTATAGTTGTAGAGCCAGTCATAAGATATACCTATAGTCTTTCTTGTCAACGTGTAACACTGTATTACATTTTTTTCCCGCTGCTAATATCTTAGAGGCTCCCGTGCCATTTTCTGGACTTGCTGTGACCTTTCATCCTCTACCTGCTCTGTGCCAATAAGCCCAGGTCCTCCGGGGTCCTGGGATAGTTTCCTTGGAAGGCCCCACCAGGAAATAGCCCCTTGTGGCTGCCTTTTTTGTTTATTTTGATGCTTAAACCTCTGGGAACTGAAGCCATGCTGATTGATCTGTGTACCACTAACCTCTTGTGGCTCATTGGTTTTCCATTTTTATAATCACTAGTGTTCCTAAGAAATGGACAAAACCCAAAAACTCAAGACCTACTTTGTCGTGGGTATATGATTATTGACTGAAGATGTTTCGTCTTCATATTCTAAAGCACTTCATTTCTCAACTCCATAATCTGGAAACAACAAAAGCAACATTTGTATATATTTGTATTTTCCAAGTATATAAAGACTAATTTAGAAGTAGAGAGCTACCCTTCATTTTTAAAGACACTGCCTGTTATAATAAATATATCATAGCCTGGGTGACTTATAAACAACAGAAATTTATCTCTCAACAGTTCTGGAGGCTGAAAGTCCAAGATAAAGACATGTGCACCTTTGGTATCTGGAGAGGGCCAACTTCTTGGTTTATAGAAAGCTGTATTTTTGCTGTGTCCTTACATTACAGAAAGAATGGGCAAGGGGACCTCTGATGTCCTCTTTGTAAGAGCAGTAATTCCATTTACTAGACTCCACCCTTGTGATTTAATCACCTCTCAAAGGCCCCATCTTCTAATGCCATCTGCAGGGGAATAGTATTTCCACATATGAATTTGTGGGAGGTTTGGGGTAATAGTCTACAGCACTGAGAAGCATTTTTTGATAATGACTGCTCTTAAAAAGAGCAAGGTATTTTTTTAATACTCATAAACCTAACACAGAATAAGTTTAAATGGCAGAAAGGGTGAGAAGAAAAAGTAGATGGGGAAAACCTTTTGTTCGTGCATGCCTGGTTCCCCCTCCTTTCCCCTGCCCCATTTCAGTGACCCTGTAAGTGGTCACAGTAATGTCACTGACCCTAAAGAGTTTATAGAGATAAAGTTGGCATAGGCTTCTAACCCTTGGCAAGGCTTCATACAGCAGAAGTTCAAATGCACCAGAATAAGTTTTCCTCTTAACATTTGGAAGAAACCCTTCCCAGTAAAACACTGTAACTAGTTTGATAAAAAAATAGAAAATTCTCCTTCGTATAGCAAAAAAAAAAAAAAAAAAATTAATTTTAAGCAATACTGGAGATTGAACCCATTGGACTTATTTGACCACTGAACTACCACTGATGTTTTCTGGTCCTTTTTATTTTTTATTTTGAGATAGGGTCTCACTAAATTGCCCAGCTGGCCTTGAACTTGGAACACTCTAGCCTCAGTGTCCCAAGGAACTGGAGTCACAGGTGTGCACCACCACACCCAACTGTTACAGCAAATTCTTAAGAAACCTGTTTCTTTTCCCCAAAGATAGAAAACCAAGCCCTGTACAGATTGACTCAGCTTACTCCATTTTGGCCCCTGTCCTTATGAGTGGTAGAGATAAATAATGACTTGGTCCTCTCTCTTTGCTTTTTGGTGGCACCTGTCATTGTAATATCTAACAATAAGGTGTTTGTTTTTGAAATACTTGTTTTTGGAAACTCTAAATTGGCTGAGCATCTAGTGGTTTTGTTTTCTTTAAAAAACTAGCATTAATCCTACCTTTTCCCAAAGAGGCATTCCTTAAAGGTGTTGGATCTTTGTGTATTTTATATATCTTTTGCACCTTGGAAAAATCATTGAAATTGGTGCTTTTTTGTGAGCCTTATGAGAACAAGATTTCATTGGCCCTGGGATATGTTTTCCCTATTTGCATAAGTTAGTTCTGGATTTGGGTTAGGTTGTCATTAGTAAGTAAAGGCTGATTGGATTATTATGCTTTGCCTAAAATCGGTATTATTTTGCTGCCCACAGAATCCTTGGCTTAAAATCAGGGCTTAACATGTGTTTGATTTTTAGGCTGCTTTTCAGAGTCACGTCTCATCGTTCCACTGAAGCATGACTGCAGGATTGGTGGATTTCCATGCTCTTGGTCTCATCTGTCCCTTTGACCCCTCTCACACAGGTGCATGCTCACATGCACTCATACACTCTCACACATGGTCTGCAGCCCCCATTCTACTGCCACCTTTCATTTGGTATTCTTGCCATTTTTATCAGAGATTCAAAATTTCAGATGAAATTCGAATCAGTCACTTTTAGCATTTGTTAAAATTGCCAGAGTTAAACATTTTGGAGAATGGCAGTTGTAATAAATGAGAAAGATCAAGTGTTTGAATTGACTGTAGATTTTGTCATCTGTTCTAACCCTGGTTTTGCCCCAACAACCTTTCCCATTTGCAACTCAGCAGTGTTTGTTTTTACAAAGATTACCCAAAAATAAATGCTGTAAAGGGAAATGTTGGCATTTAAATTAAAATTCTTTCAAAACAGTGTTTTGTTTTCTCTTTGTGTTTCAGTGTTCATTGCTATCTTCTGGTGCAGGTCAAACTTGCAGGTTCCTGTTGGTTTGCAGTGAGTACCTGATAGCCTCCACCTTAGGTTCATTTCATTTTCTGAAATGTTTTTTGTTCTCCTTTCTAGTTCCTTCCATTCCCCTGGATGTCCTTTCAGCATCGAACTCCTCTTCTCAGCTGATTGTGAAATGGAACCCCCCATCTCTACCCAACGGTAACCTGAGTTACTACATTGTGAGATGGCAGCGGCAGCCTCAGGACGGCTACCTGTACCGGCATAATTACTGTTCCAAAGGTAAGGTTGCCAGCAGTGGCCCAGTTGGGAGGTGCACCTGTTCATGCCCATTGTCTGAACGTATCTGAGCCCAATAATACACCAACCAGGTAATAGTGTAATTTCCCTACATTAGAAACCAGCACTTTCTTGATTAAAGGTGCTGATAGCTATTCTTTCTCCTCACAAGCCAGTTATACTTGGCTTTCATTCCTATTCTCCCTTTCACTTCTCTTTTCTTGGAAGACAAAATCCCCATCAGGAAGTATGCTGACGGCACCATTGATGTCGAAGAGGTAACAGAGAATCCCAAGACTGAAGTGTGTGGTGGTGAGAAAGGGCCTTGCTGTGCTTGCCCTAAAACTGAAGCTGAGAAGCAAGCTGAGAAGGAGGAGGCTGAATACCGCAAAGTCTTTGAGAATTTCCTGCATAACTCCATCTTTGTGCCCAGGTACCTGTACCATTTGAAAACATCCCCTAGAGGATGGTGATGCTTGAGCAGATTCTGTTGCTTTTGTCTTTACTTGGTAGTGTGGGACATGATACAGGAGGCCACTGAGAGGGAACAATGGGAGGTGACATTGGCTTAGTCAAGTAAGTGGAGCTTCTGTGGAAACTGGTTAGTCCTAAAAGGAAGGGGACTGGGGCTCCTGTTATTAGGCACTGCAGGTATGATGGGTGCTACCTCACCCATACAGCCTCCTGCAGACAGCAGGTGGGGTCCCCCACACAGATACTGAGAGATGAGGCTCAGAGGTCTCCAGTCACATGTACACACTCATGGAAATCAGCTAAAGGAAAAGCCAGGATCTGGGCTCATCTCTGCCCTTTCCATTTCTCCCCAATGCTGGCAGAGAAGGTTTGAAGCAAGAGGGGGAAAGTCAGAGTCAAACCAACTTCAGAATGTAACCAGATGCCCCAGGCATCCTTCACAAGCAGGTTTGGGAAGCAGCATAGAACATAGTCTTTCAAAGTAACAGATACCCTGCTTCAAGGAGTCACTCTGCTCCTGTGCTCTAAGCCTTGGTTTCTGTGAAGTGGGAACAGAAATGGAGGAATAGACATTTTCTGTAGCAGTACTATTCATAGTAACAAAAGCTAGAAACAACTCATTGTCCGTCAGCAGATGAATGGATAAACATATGTGGTACAAATAGATGGACTAGGATTCAGCCATGAAAAGGGAGGAAATTCTGATACATGATACAACATGCATGAATCCTGCAAATGACATCCCAATAAAGCCAGACACAAAAGAATAAATACTATATGGTTCCATGTATATGAAATATACAGATTAAGCAAGTGTATAGTAGGTTAGAATTTTCTAGGAGCATAGAGTAAGGTGATGAGGGCAATGGGGGAATTATCTTGAAATGGGTGGAGTTTCTGTTTGGGTTGGTGAGAATTTTTTTGCAAAAATGGTGATGATTGTATAACTCTAATGAATGAAATTAATGCTACTAAATTACACAGGTAAATAGTTATAATGGCAAAAGTTTATACTATAGATATGCTTTTTAATTTTAATACTTTATCAAAAAGTGAATTAAATGGTTTTTAAGAACTGGAGGAAACCTCAGCAGAGTTGGCTGGTAATGTCTGAGAAAAGACTTGGAGTGGAGGTCCTTGACTCCCTTTATAATCTTCTTCCTGAAGATTATAGTGCAGAATTCAGAAATAGCCTCATATCTGAAAACTGGGCAGAAAGCTGGATTCAGACCAGCAGTGTCTCTCCAAGGTGTCAATGCCAGTCCCCAGGATGCCCTAGCTATCAACACTCTGCCTGGCCTTTTCTCTTCCTCTGAGACCTTGGAAGCTTGAAGCTGCACTTTATTCCATATTTACTTTGTCCTTAAAGACTGTCTTCAGTTGTAACAACAAATGGATTTTAAAGTGATTTTTTTTTTCTGTCAAGTGACTTTCATGATACTTGTGAAATGGTCAGAGATAGCCGTCTTACTTTGAAGAATCAGTAAAGTAGGAAATAAAGACCTTTTGGAAGTGGAGGTACTACTTCCTTTTGAGAATGAAAATCCTCACTGTTTGGTGGCTTTCTTCCCATCCCTTCCCTTCTATCTCTCACTTAAAGCCTCTAGAGCAATGAGGGCCCAGGAGGCTACCACCAGCCCTACCACCATCCCACTGGGAGAGCTCCTGTTGGCTGACAGATTATAGGGCTGCTATTTCAGTGTCATCCTTGTATTTTAGTGTGCATTGCTATTTTCTTATCCATGATATCTGTGTACCGTGTGTGATTCCTAGAATCTAAAAGCTTAAGGACTGGAAAAAGCTAAGAGATGTTTGAAATCAGAACTTAGTGAGGCTTGGTGACCCCTCTGACATCCTAACTAATTTAGTTTCTGGGTCTTGGACATGCTTTCTCATAAACATAAGCTCTTTCTTGCCCTGCATCTTCCACATGATCCACTCCACCTGGGCCAGCAGAGGCTCAGCTACTGGCAGTCACTGTTGTTGTAAGGTTGGAGGTTGGATGAATATAGAATGTCTCAAGCAGATTGGGCAGGAAGTATGTTTATTTGTTTGTGTTTTTGTTTTTTGTTTTGTGGTGCTGGTGATCAAACACTGGATCTTACATATACGAGACAACACTCTACCTCTGATCTACATACCTGGCCCCAAGAAGTTGTCTGTATATTTACCATCAGAGGCTATTGGTTATACTGATACATTTATTATCCAATCTACTTTTCCAAAAGTTCAGATTTTTAAGGATTTAGAAAGTGTTACTAGTCCATTTTCTGTTACTATAATAAAATACCTGAGGCTCAGTTTTAGAGGAGAGAGCAAAAGTTAGCAAGATGCCAGAGAGATTCAGCAGTTGGCCTTGCTCTTTTTAACAACTCACTTTTGCAAAAACAGCTAATTTACTCCTTGAGACCAGCATTAATCCCTTCTGAGAGCAGTGCCCTCAGTGACTTAATTATTTCCCAATAGGCCCGCCTCTTAAAGATTCCACCACCTCTTAATACAACCATACTGAGGACTAAGCTTCCCATACAAGAACTCTCAGTGGACAAACCATTAACAATGCAAAGGTTTTGCTGAAAGGCCCCTAGCTTTCAATTATAGTGACAAGACAATATCTTTTTTGTCATCAGAGGTAAAACACCAGACTAAGTGGTGTGAAGGTGGTCATTAAATTGACACAGATGTTATTAATGCAAAGCATTTATTTCTTTATTTTAATTATTTATTTTTTATTATTTCTTACATACATCACAATAAAGGAATGCAAAGCATTTATATTGTTGGGTTTAAAATAAGTTTCCTCTGTGCCACATCCCATAGCATGACTCTCTCTCCCAAAATAAGTCCAACTTCGTTCTCTCTTTTCATGGGAAGAATACCCATGTTTTGTCCATGCTAAGAGGCCACAATTTGTAAGAATTTTCATTGGTTTTTGCCTCATAATGAGGCATAAATCTGATATTCATGTAAGTTCTGAGAAGATTCACATAAAGAGGTATTCAAATGACAGAATAACTGAATCACCAAGTCTCATTTCTTGTTTTTACAGCTTACCAAAAACTTTTGATTTCTTTCAATCCATTCTAAGAACAATTTATTTGGGAGCTAAAATCAAATAAGTCAAATACAGTCCCTTCCACATGGTCCCATGTGTCCTTTGTGTTTGAAATAGAATGGAAGGTAGAGTTTGTCAAGTTACTTTCTGAAGTCAGTGTTGGGTGGTAAACACCTTTCCTTTACCACCATCTTTAATTTTCAAATACATAGTTTGCTTTATCTAACTAAAACATTGACAGATGTTGAGAAGTAAAATGTTTTCCAATAGGAGTAAGTTGTATCATGGAGTAGAGTGAAGAAAGTTGGCAGTATTTCTTATTGGTCATGCCATTGGAATGTAGCCATGACAAAGAATTATGTATGGGCCATTTTGCTTACCTGAGCCTGTACCTTCCTGCTAATGTTCTTTGTTGCCTACCTCCCTCAACACCTGACTTGATGTCCATAGCAGTAGCTATGTGGTCTCCAAAAGTGTGGTGTTTACAAATAAGTAAACTGTTAAGTACTTTAATGGTGTAATACCATTTCAACAGGAGTGGCTGGGGGAGGGCATAGACCAGAACTATTTTTGCAGTAGATCAAACCTAAGCAGCTTCTTACTTGTAAACTTAAGTGTGTATTGTGTTGGTTTTCAAGTAAGGGCAGAAAATTTGTTGGTAACGTGTTGAAAAAGATCTCCCTAGCAATAAATGTTGTTTCTTGTGTCCTTTCCTTCCAAGAAGGTAGGTGGTTAGTTGGTTGTTTTGCACAATGCAAGAATGGTGAGTTATTGACCTCATTTCCTAATCCTTCCCCAGCATTATAAAAACAAATTCACATGCCCCTGATATTGTAGGTTGCTACCTTTTGGAATGAGCTTAACTATTGGGTGGTTTCTGCCTTTAATGGTGTCCAAGTATCACTATACAAAGAAAGACCATGTGTTCTGCTGAAAAATCCATGGGCTGAGCAGACAAGGGAGCCCATGGTCTTTTCTCCTGGCCTCCTACCTTCCAGATTTAGGCCTAGGGACCAGAAAGAGGCTTGTGAGGCATCCACTGAACTTTTCACATATCTTCCGGGATGCCTTCTTCCCTGGGTGAACTTTTTTTTCCCTGCTACTGCTCTCCCTCATACATGAGGCTCACAAGCTTCCTATATTCTGAGCTTTCTCATTTTTTTTTAACTCTTACTTTTCTTACCAGGCAAGGTTTATTTCATTTGCTCCCAGCTACCCTTTGCCCATTCATAAGACAAGCAGCCATCCAGTAGCCTCACACCCTATTTCCTTCATGGTGCATGGCTAACCTAATGGTGGTTGGTGTGCTGTCTGGATGTTCCTCTCATGCTGTTTAGTTTTCTTGGTTCCTGTAAAAGTTAGGAGCCTGGTTTTTGTTGTTGTTGTTGTTGTTGTTTGTTTGTTTGTTTAGTTTGGGTTTTTTTTTTGTTTTTTTTTTGGCGGTGCTGTGGATTGAACCCAGTGTTTGTGCATGCAAGGCAAGCACTCTACCCACTGAGCTATACCTCCAGCCCAAGGAGCCTGTTTTTAAGGTTTCTGAGGGAAGCCCCTTTTTCTATAGCCCACCAAAACACCAATTGGAGAGTCACACCTTCATCTGCCCTTTTGGGTATTGTTGTTCTTCCCTGGGGATTTTATGCATTCCCTTTGTCTTTGTTGTTGTTGTTGTTGTTTCTGTTTCAAGCCCTACTCAAATCTGTGACAAAGGCTGAGTCTTGAGGAGGCCACAAGGCCCACTGCTGAGAGGGAGGCAAAGCTGGGCTCCAGAGATTTACAGGAGTAAGGCCTGCACCAGGGATTTAGGGTGGGACTTTCTTTTTCTTTTGTTTGTTTTTGTTTGTTTTGTTTTGGTACTGGGGATTGAACCTAGGGGTATTTAAACACTGAGCCATGTCCCTACCCTTATTTATATTTTATTTAGGGACAGGGTCTTATTGAGTTACTTAGGGTCTCACTAAGTTGCTGAGGCTGGATTTGAACTTTTGATCCTCCTGCCTCAGCCTCCTGAGCCATTGGGATTATAGGTGTGTGCCACTGCTCCCAGCTAGGGTTAGGATTTTCAATTAGCAGGATTCTCCAAGAAAGGATCCTGAAGTTCAAGCACTTGCTTACTGCTCAAATCGTGGCATCTTTATTTTATTTCAGAGGGAACCCAAGAAGCCACTATTACAGGCCTTTGAATTCCTTCTGCCCCATCTAGCTGAGGCCTGAGCAACCACATCACCTCTCCCCTCATAAATCTTAGTGCAACTAGTAGATTTGACCCCTACATATTTAACCACAAGGTCTGTGACCAGATGGCACTGATCAAACAGTGAAGATACTGCCTAGCCCAGGGTGGCTCTGGGATTTAGTAAGAAGCATATGTGCTGTTCCTGAGGGGTAGAGTTGAGAAAGCAAGATAAGTAAGAAAATCCCCATATTATTTGTTGGTTCTTACCCAAAGGGGTTAAATAGTTCCTTTTGTTACAAGGGTTAGATTTTTCTTTTCTGTTATTCTTTCTTACTCTAGTCAAAGAAAAGACAAAAGAGGCAGAAACACTTATAAGCCAAGCTTCTCTCTTCCTTGCAGACCTGAAAGGAAGCGGAGAGATGTCATGCAAGTGGCCAACACCACCATGTCCAGCCGAAGCAGGAACACCACAGTGATGGACTCCTACAATATGACAGATCCAGAAGAACTTGAGACAGAGTACCCTTTCTTTGAGAGCAGAGTGGATAACAAGGAGAGAACTGTCATCTCTAACCTCCGGCCTTTTACTTTGTACCGCATTGATATTCACAGCTGTAATCATGAGGCTGAGAAGCTGGGCTGTAGTGCCTCTAACTTTGTCTTTGCCAGAACCATGCCTGCAGGTATGGTTTGGTCCAGCTAGCCCCACTGCTGACTCAATCACAGCTTAGTAGAGAAGGTTGTGTTTTGTGGACATGGGGTCTTAAATCCAGGTTGACAACTCTGAGACTCAGTCCTACTAAGGAATATGTATGTGGTCATTAGTAGACAGCCTGGTAGACCAGCTGCCCAGGAAATGGAGCTCATGCTGTCACTGTGATGTCATTCCTATCTCAGGCTCTCCAAAGAAAATACTGGAGAGCTAAGAGCTCCCTGTAGAGTCCCCACTCCTCTGCTTGGCTCACATTTGCATTTGCATAGTCCCTGGCCTCATAAACTATTCTTCACTTCTGCATTCTCATAGTTTCTGTATGAACCCCTGTTGACTACCTGGGTCCCAGAGTGACCATTACTCCTCAAGTCACTATTAGAGTAGCCAGTGGTCCTGCTTATTTGAATATGCATTTCCCTTGTATGTTAGACACTGCCTGTTGCTCAGACAACCATTCATATCTTTGAAGATGAATGAACTGCCCAGCCCTCACTCCTGCAAGAGGCTTCAGGCAGTAGAAAGGGCATGGAGGCGACTAAAGTCTGGGAAGGGAGGCTTCCTTGACATAGTTTTGGCACTGACATGTAGCATTCCCTGGCCAGTCCTCAGCCTCCAGTGCCTCAGTTTCCCCAACACTCCTCTAACATAGACCAGCTAATCTTTTGTACTAAGGATTGAACCCAGGGGTGCTTTACCACTGAGATATGTACCTCCGATCTTGTGTGTGTGTGTGTGTGTGTGTGTGTGTTGCTGGGGATTGAACCCAGGGCCATGTGCATGCACTCTACCAACTAAGCTATATCCCCAGCCCTATCCCCCAGTTCTTTTTATTTTTTGTTTTGAGACAGGGTCTCAGCAAATTGCTTAGAGCCTTGCTAAATTGCTGAGGCTAACCTCGAACTTAGAATCCTCCTGCTTCAGCCTCCCAAGCCACTGGGATTACAAGTGTGCGCCACCATGCCCAGCCCAGCTAATCTGTAGACATCTTTGTCAGTAGAATTTTCCATGACTTTGGCTTACTACATTCCTTTAGAAAGAGGGGTCAGGAATAGATGATGGCAGGGTCAGCTCACTTGCTCTCAGCACCTGTTTCTTAGTAGTATCTTTACAGACTGGCTTTGTAGCTATCCTTCACATACAACATAGAACTTGTAATTGCTATGTATATGTGGCCCTTGGAGGATCCATGTCATAACCTGGAGGCTCCATGCACTACTTCAGCTTGTCAGAACCCTTTCAGTGTTTTGTTATTTGATGGGCTCTTTCTTCAAGAGGTAGAAGTAACAGAAAAAGAAAATTACTTATAGTGCCAGGAAGTTTTTATGCTTGGTCACAGGCGCTTCTGGTGGGGGACTCGTGGCATCTTGAGATTCATGAGTCATCAGGTAGGTCCAGTTTCTAAACCTGTGTTGTGTGTGTAAGCAGCCAACTCAGGAGGAGCCCACATGATCACTGTCCACAGCCACGCCCCCACAGATTTGGGGAGGAGGGTTGTTCTCAGGTGACCCCAGCATTTGTCACCCTCTTTGGGGACCTGAATCCAACTTTGTCCCTTATTTAAATTGTTGTACAGAAGGAGCAGATGACATTCCTGGCCCAGTTACCTGGGAGGCAAGGCCTGAGAACTCCATCTTTTTAAAGTGGGCAGAACCTGAGAACCCCAATGGATTGATTCTAATGTATGAAATAAAATACGGATCACAAATTGAGGTGAGACTGGGGCTTTCCTTTGCAGCTGCATGTATTTCCATCAGGGTTGACAACATGTGCAATGTTATACTCAATTTACTTGCTGTTAGCTTAGCTTCAAACAATAAGATTGGGTGGAAAGTTGGTGAGGATTTAGGTCTTTCCAGCAGCTCCATGCTTCTGGAAGGAAGCTAGAATGCTTCTCATCCTCAGAATAGTTTCATTGTAGAAAATTATCTCATGACATAGGTTAGGTCAGTCAATAATTTTTAACTCTCCTAAAGTTCTTTTGGGTTCCAAAGTGTTTGATTACAGTTTTGGGATATTGTTTAAATGACTTGAGGGAGGATCATTTTGGGGGGTGGGGCTGGTCAAAGATTGGGCAGCTAGAGTCACCGAGGTAGCAAGTGAGCTGGCAAGTGCCAGATATCTACTATGTTTGTAGGCAGTTGATGCATGTGTTTTATTTCCCCTCAGGATCAGCGAGAATGTGTGTCCAGACAGGATTATAGAAAATATGGAGGGGCCAAGCTCAACCGGCTAAACCCAGGGAACTATACCGCGCGGATTCAGGCTACCTCTCTCTCTGGGAATGGGTCATGGACAGATCCTGTGTTCTTCTATGTCCCAGCCAAAAGTAAGGCTATTGAAAGAGTAGTGTGATAAAACTGAAAGCTGGTCCAAGATTCAGGAAGGCTGGGTTGCTAAGGATAAAATGGCATAGACCAACTCTCGGAAGTGTCATGCTAAAAAGCCAGTGCCTTGTCTGGGAAATCAGTCTAGGGGATTGCTGGACTTTGAGTCCCTACCTCGTGTGACTGGTTGGAAGAGGGTCTGAGTTCCTCTTTTTGGAATGGTGCAACCACTGTTGAGCCAGTAAAGACCTCTGCTTTCACCTTGGTCTATGTTCAGAGCCATTTTACATGCTAACCATAGTTAATAATAGTGTATTATATTCTTGAATATTATTAAGAGAGTAGATTTTTTAAATGTTCTCACCCCCCAAAATGATAACTATGTGATATAATGCATGTTAATTATCTCAATGCATACATATTTCAAAACATGATAAATACATACGTGATTTTATATGTCAAAATAAATAGATATTTTCTTTAAAAAAATAAAACAAGGACTGTAGTAGTTTAGTCAACACTGAATATTCAGAGATATACATGATTATCTGAAAATCCTCTATGACAGATAGCAAAAGGATAGGAGTGAATAGAATTGTAAACTGAGGTGATAGTTTATGTATCTGGCACTGTGCTGTCCCTGAGTTCAGGTTTCAAAGGTAAATAATTGCTTAGGCCGATAATTTTGTCAGTTAAAATAGTCTGAATTCTCCCATTTAGTCCACTTAAGCTAGTCTGACCAGTTAGCTTATATGACTTTTCATTACTGTGACAAAACATCTGAGATAATCTATTTATAAGGAAAAAATATTTATTCTGGCTTATAGTTTCAGAAGATTCAGTCTATGAGCAGTTAGCTTCATTACTTTTGGATGTGTGGTGATACAGTATATTATGGTAGGCAGTATGTGGTGAAGCAGAGCTGCTCACCTCCTACTGGTTGGGAAGCAAAGATAGACTGGAAGGGACTGGGGTCCCAATATCCCCTTCAAGGCACACTCCCAGTGACCTAACTCCCTCTCGCTAGATTCTACCTCCTAAAGATTCTACCACCTCCCAATAGATGCTCCAAACAAAAAACTAAAGAAGCTATAGAAGTAAAAAATACAATTGATAATTTAGACTTAACAGACATATAGAATATCAATGACTGAATACACTTTCTTAGCAGCACATGTAGCCTTCTCTAATATAGACCATGTTATGTAAACTATCACATACATTCACATTCAATTATAATATTACCTTAATATATTTTAACATCTGTAAGATTATTAGATAGCTCTCTTTCCATTGATATTAATTTTTGTGTTCTTGCTTATTTTCTTGATTAGATTTATTTATCAAATTTTAGCTGTATTATTTCTTATTTTGTATATTTTTAAATAATTGACATGTGGATTTGGGGTTCTATATATCTTATGGTGATTGATTCCTAATGTAATAAATCATGCAGGAAACCCAGTCTGCATGATTTCAAATTTAAAAAAAAAAAAGTAATGGAAATGCTTTTTTATTAACTATATTGGTTACATACATGTTGAAACTGATCAAATTGCATACTTCAAATATGTGCATTGTATTGTACTTCAATTTTATCTTAATAAAGTTATGGGGGGGATATTCTACCACTTCCAAATAGCACCACAGACTGGGAGCTTAGCTTTCAACACATGGGCCTTTGTGGAACATTTATCCAAACTACAGTTTATGCCACTTTTCCAGTACCTGAAACTCTAACAACATTCATATAACCCTCACCAGAGTGGTGGCTTTTTCCCTCTCCCTCAATCCCCAGCATCCCCAAGGATTAGAGCCTAGGCCTGGGGTCTTGGCATTTGGCTGTGATCTATGAAACAGCATCCTTGGCTTTAGGGCTTAGTGAACTTGGCTTTTCTTCAGAGAGGTCATGTTCCTTTCTGCCTTTTCTGTTCCTTATGTAACCCTGTGAGTGCCAGGATGCCACTGGGGAACCCAAGAGTCACTCTGATGGAGTTTCTCCAGCAGAAGTTGGCATGAACTGCAGGGAAATTGAAACCACATGCCAGTTTTGCTGCTGGGAAGCTTTTCCTTATGTCAGACAAGACTCTCCCACTACAGTTTAGCCTCATTTCCTCCTGTTTAATCCTCAGAGGAGATGGAAGCTTTGGAAGCTTTCTGGCACTTGCTATCTTTTTAGGAACAAAAAATCTGTATGTGCTTGAATACTATTAAATTATCCCCCAGACTTCCCTTCTCCAGATTAAATATTCTCAAGTCTTTGGCCTTTTTTTTGCAGCCCAGTTGCAGAGATCAATTTTCTAACCATTTACTCATTTTGTTCTTCTCTGGATATGATCCAATTTCTCCATGTGCCTGTTGAAATGTGAAACTTAAACACAGTAGAACCTGACCAGTAGTACCAGTGATATAAATACAACAAATAGTCTATGGGCTAGTTCTAGTCTAAGGGGAAACAAAGAAGCCTCCTAGCTTCTGATACCTCATGAATATTTTGAAACTTGCATTCATTTTGAAAGATACTTGATAAATATATTTTTAATGTAAAAAAATTTGAAGCATCCTTAATAGTCTTTAAAGAGAATGTATGTGTTTTTATTTTAAAGAGAAATAATAATAACAGATTTTAGTAGCAAAATAATCATTGACTTATGGTCCTCGTAACTTGGTCCCCAGTGAGTTCAAAGCCCATTTCCAAGTAGACATCTCTATTTGGATGTCCATTGGGTACCTCTTGCTCCTTGTGCACAAAACCAAAATCTAAATTCCTGTCCTCAAAACACACACCTCTTTTCTCCTTGGTTTCTTAGCTCAATCAGTAGCCCTGATCACCCAAATAAGGAACTTCACAGTTATCCTTCATTCTTCTTTCTCTCCAGCCACTCATTTTTCATTCCAATCCAAGTCATATGGATTCTCTCTCTGCCTCTTAAATGTCTGTGGAACCCACCTCCACTACCGCAGGTCAGAGCCTGCCGGTTGCTTGTGTTCTGGTGGTATTTTGAGGTGTGGCTGTAGAAAGCCTGGCTTCCCATCTTGGAACCATGACTTACCAGCTACCCCTATGACCTTGGGAAGGCAAGGTTATCTCTGTAATCTGGCTTGTTTATAGAAAAGGAGCAGTGATTTCTTCCTGAAGTCAGAACTGAGTACCACAGAGCATCCCCAGAGGTTGCAGCATATTTCCTCCCAATTCTCCAAGACATGGCAGTGGAGAGGACCCCAGTCTGTTCTTGGACCCCAGCACATGAATCTGATCAGTTCACTGCTGGTTTTGAAAACTTTTGTTGACTCCTTTAAATCTGAATAATGGAGTTGAAACCACTTGGTTTGGTCTAAGCCCCTGGTGAGCTGGCCCCTGGCTTCTCTCCAGTGTCATCTTTAAGCCATTCCTCTGCTTATAAAATCATTTATCCCAAGGAAAGTGTATCTTTCTCTTTCAAGACTCAGGCTAAAGAAATTTTCTCCTATGGAGCTTCCCTTAACTCCCCTTTCTCCTCTCCCTTGCTCTCTGTATCCTTGCCATTATGTGTGGTCTACTTTTCTCTACCTTTTGACATGATTTCCTGCATCTGGCAGAATTTTCAGGGGTACACATCTGAATCCCTTTTGCCCAACTTATCATCTGTTATACAAGTCTGGTGACAAGTGCACTCATGGTCTCAAGACTTTAACAGGTCTCAAATGATTGTGAAAATTTAGAGCAGCATTGGCAAGGGGTACCATCCGGTTATTTTAAATTTTTTATGGAATTATGTTAACAGGTAAAGGTCAGTATATATATAAGTAAATGTTATTTCAGCAAATGTGTGTGTATCCACTAAGAATCATTAAACTACGTACAGAGACTCCTTCAGTCCATCATTTAAGCTATTATATCAGAATATACTGCGTTAAAAAAATAAACATATACCTCATTCTACATGTAACTTTTTTTTTTTTTTTGACAGAAGTGGGAATTGAACTCAAGGGTGCTCTACCACAGAGCTATATGCCCAACCCTTTATTTCCTCTTTTTTCAAATATTCCATTTGTTTGCTTTGCTATTTCTGATACCATTTACCTTCAGGAATTCCTAGTGTTCAATAGGAGAGTACAAAAGCTTTTAGGGATTTTTTTTTTCATATTTTTACATGAATTTGAAAGATAAAATGAGCAGATTGTTCACCTAATGACATCATATCATGTCCTTCTCATTTCTGCAGCAACGTATGAGAATTTCATCCATCTGATCATCGCTCTGCCGGTCGCCATCCTGTTGATCGTGGGAGGGCTGGTGATAATGCTGTATGTCTTCCATAGAAAGAGGTGAGCACTGGGGCCAATTTAAGACAATTTTTGCAGCCAAGTGGTTTGATTATTTGAGCATGAGCAAAGGTCAGCTCTTTCAGGAAATATTATACAGAGTGGAAAACTTTATAGTCAAACGTTCTTTACAGGAGAATAGAACATTTTCTAATGATTTAACAACAACAAAAAGGGTTATTTTCTTCATACCCCTCTTCCCTTCATTGGTTTCTCTGATGCACAGGTTATGCTGGCTAACGTGGAGCTTTTCCACACATGCCCCCCCCCCCATCACATAAACTGTGTTATTTCCATTGAACAAGGAAACTATTATTTCTTTAAAAACTCTGATCCGAGGCCACCAAAGAAGCCAAAAGATGTGTCCTCAAATATCTACTGGCCCTAGACTGAACTGGGGTTGCAGACCAGAGCTCCTGTTAGCAGTTAGCACTCTTCCCTTTCTTTCTCAAGATACTTCATGAATCAACAAATAAATCAGATGTAACAAAGATGAAAATATCTCCAGAAAGATGGAGAATAGGGTTTCTTAACCTGAATTTTCTCATTTCTTGGCAGGAATAACAGCAGGCTGGGGAATGGAGTGCTGTATGCCTCTGTAAACCCAGAGTACTTCAGCGCAGCCGATGGTAAGAGTCTTACCCAGGGTCTCTGGCGGTGGGGAAGTCGGGAGCTGTCAGGAATGTTATTAACTGGGGAAGAGGTTTGTGTTATTTTGAGGTACCTTTGCCCAGGGTCCATCTTTGATAACCTAAATCAGTCTATCTATCTATCTATCTATCTATCTATCTATTTTTTAGCATCTCAGTGCATTTGTCAAAAATTTTGAGACTGTGTTGGATACCCCAAGGAAAAATAGGCTTTAGAAATAAATGTCACGAGCACAGTAATCAGTTTATTTAGTTCCTTAAAATTTTATGCCAGAATGAAAGAAACTTTCTGTTAACATGTAATCATTGAATGTGCTACAGATGATAAAACAGTCCTTTTAATTCTATTTTGGCTAGATGGTCAAGGCATTCCAGTTGTCTCTGGCCATTAAGGGCTGCTCTGGTTTATCTTAGAATTCTTCTGTCATATCTGTCATGAATTCTAAGATAAACCAGAATGACAGAAGAATGACATTCTTCTGTCATTCTGGTTTATCTTAGAATTCATTCTGTCATTACCCTCCTGAGGAGGGTAATACAGTTTTTTTTTTTTTCCCCTGATTCACATTCCCTTTGTTAATACCTAATGAGAGTCATTTAGTTAAATGGCACAGAAAGTCTGACTTGGAAGCTGGATTGTACTCAATGGTTATTTCCCTTCCTCCACCCCACCCCCACTTTTTAGCTTTCTTTTCTTGCTAGTACACTTAAATACAAACTTAAGTTAGGCTAAGGGTGGTTGCCATTGGGACCTACAGGACTATACCATTGTCACTTTGCTAGGGGCTTTTCCAAACACTGTCCAATGTTCTCCTTACTCCTCCTCTGGGTGGGTTTCCTTACAACCATCTTCAGGTGCAGAAATAAGCTCCAAGAAGGAACTTGCCTATGGTCACACAGTGAGGCAGTTGGAAAGCCAGGATGAGCTTGCTCTCACCAGCCCTTCCTGCTGCATCTGGTTGGCATGCAATGTAGTCAGTGTGGAAGAGGACCCTAGGGTCCCTGGGGCAACCAGGGAAGCTGGCCCATAGGATGGGCTGTACCAGGCTTGTCAAATGAATAATCAAGTGCATGACATTAGGGGAGTGTTCAGAAAAAAAATGTTTACTACTTTCCTTCTTCGGGAGAAGTGGAAGTAGATATGCCAGAAATGTGAGATAAGGAGTTGTGATTATTCTAATCAATTATCCTGATCAAATGAGAAAACATAGGAAAATACTTTGGTAATTTTAAAGTACTGTGTAAGTGTGTATGGTTTACTATGATTTCTGTAATCATTTCTAATTCAATTATGTTTATAGCAGAGCTGATCAAAAACAGCCCCTTCTGAATGGGAATTGGGTACAGAATAAGTACATTATTCCTATTTACATAAAGATCTCAAAAAGTTGGTTTTTAGTAGATATTTATGTTTGTGTGTGTGTGTGTGTGTGTTAGACACAGAGGACATTCCAGAAGGATGAACACCACACTTATAAGAACAGTTACTTACAAAGAAGATCCTTCTCTTTTAAAAATAATGAAAACAGGGGGTTTGGGTATCTAGAGTACTTGTCTAGCATATTACAGGGCCCTGGATTTAATCGCCAGCTTTGCCAAAAAATGAAAAAGAAAAACCAGCAAGATGATAGGTCTTCGTTTGTTATACTAAAAATAGCACTTTAACTTTTATTTTATTTTATTTATTCATTATTTTTGAGACAGGGTCTCACCAGGCTGGTGTGGAACTCCTGGGTTCAAGTTATTCTTCTACCTCAGTCTCCCCCATAAACTTGGGATTACAGGCATGCATCACTAGCCCAGCTCAATAATTGCTTTTTGAAAAAGAAAAAGAAAAGAAATCAAATCAGTAAAGGTATTCTCCCAGACAATGGGAAGACACGGGGACAGTGCAAGGCCACCTCTCCTCTCTGAAGATTATATAAGACTATACCACAGAATCTACTGTATTTTTAAATAAAGCATTGAAAGTGGGCATTTTCAGTTTTAATGATGAAATATCCAAGAAGTTTACAGAAAGTATTAATACAATAAAGTAAGGCTCTGTAACAGTGACTTGAATTCAAATTTTGTGTCCTTAACAGAATGCTTTCATAATATGTCATAGTTCTTCAAAACAAAACAGAAGCAAACTTATTGCCATCCACACCAACAGGTGGAAACAAGTCACCTCATTTGAACTTAATTTATTCAGCCTTTTAACAAATACCACATAGCCATTTTCCTCAAGGGAAAATAAAATGACACTGCATTTCAAAAGTGCTTAAAAACTTCTTTCTCCTAAAGCTAATCTGCATGTCACCATTCTCCAGACTACATTGAAAATCCCCTACAGGAAAGTGCTGATAACATTGTGCATGTTTATAAACCGCTATTGGGCTTAGGACTGCTGGTTAAAGTCTGAACTCTTGGGTTGAGTTTAAAGAAAAGGATTGAGGGCCTTGACTTCTGGGACCTCCCACAGAATGAATGTGATTGGTTTTAACTCCATGTTCTATGGCACACCACATAGTTAATTCTGATTAAAAGCCAGCCTGGATCTTCAGAGATAAATGGATAGAGACAGTGACTCTTTATACCTTCAGAGGGTATTGTGAAGAGCTGTATCTCCTGGCTGCCTTACATCCTTATTCCCCCTAAGTAAGCTTTAGCCTCCTCTTCAGGAGTGCTAACTGCCTCAGCCCTACAGAGGCCATATGAGAAATTCCTGAGCACATATGTATGATGAAACATAGAAATGTGTATGGAAAAAAAATTAAGAAACTTAATATTATCTATGTTAGACACTCCTCAAAGTATAAATTGGTGGTATCTCCTGGGCCTCATTGATAGTAAACATTTTTCCTTTAAGACATCACTAAAGGTAAATACTTGATGTGGGGATTGCCACACACAATTATCAGCTACTGGTCTATCCCATCCAGCCGCAGACCCAAGGTCAGCCTCTGAAAACACAAAAGCAAATACAGGCATGAACCCCACTTCTAGTCCTCTATTTCTGAACCAGGACCACTTCCTTCCTGCCAGGCAGAAATCTGTTGACTACTTCCCCTCAGGCAGAGACCTTAGCTCACAGCACTTAGGAGATCATGGTTATAATTGAAATTTAATGCAGATCTTATGGACTAGGTTGATTTTATTTTAATTTTTATCCTACCCATTGGAGCTGTAGGATGGGACCATTGTTTGATTTTTCTTTCTTTCTTCCACCTACCTCCCCACTTTTTTTCCTTCTTTCTTCCTGCCTAGAATTATTTATTTTCTCAAACCAGATCAAATCTAAGCTGCAGAAGAAATCATATGCAAGCTCAGTATTTACCACCCCGCCCCCAGCCCTTCACCCTGGTATCAAGGGAGTCCCTGGAATCACAGAGTCCAGGCCAAACTGCTACAGTCACTAGCAGTTCTCCCTCAGCACCAGAGCTCAGTTGCTTCTGTGCTTCACTAGTGATGCAGTGGCCAAAGGCAAGGCTGGGAGATGATATCTAGACTACAGAAGTCCTCCTGTTAGAAAGATGATGCAGTTCACATTAGTAACCTCACATTTCCTGGTAGCCATACTTTAAAAAAAAAAAGAATGAAATAAATTTTAATAATGTTTTATTTAACCCAATATATCCAAAAATATCATCAGTTGAAATCAATGTAAAAGTTACTGAATTTTTTTTTTTTTTTTTTTTTTGCTAAGTCTTTGACATTTAGTGCTTAGACATGTCTCAAATGGACTAGCCCCATTCAGTAGCACTTGAATAGACAAAACAGGCTATGCTGGAAACCCTTAACATCTCTTTTGGATGCATCTGAGAAGTAGGATGTTACCACCTCTCACATGCACCTCTGACTTTTTCCCCTTCCAGAATGAAAACTCTTGTTGGGGATATAGCTCAGTTGCTAGAGTATTTGCCTTGCATGCACAAGTCCCTGGGATTGATACCCAGCACCAAAAACAGAATGAAAACTCTAACCCCCTTTCCTACTACTACCCTCTTCCTCTGATTTCCTTTTGGATCCATTGATGAGGACAAGCAAACTTCAAACCCAGAATAATTCTTAACAATTTCACTCAATTTTTCTGTCTCCTGTGGTTAGCTTGCATTTTTTTTTGTCGTGGTTTTGTTTTGGTTTTTTTTTTTTGTGGGGGGGGGGGTGGAGGGTTAATACTTCAACTTTTTTTTAAGATTGTTTTGATGACTTCTTTTTTTAATCACTAAAACAGAGAAATATGTTTTATTATGAAGAACACCATCTCAGGTCTAGGGTTATGATTGTATTTTTATTGTTGTTGTTTAGCAGAACGCTCTTTGATTCATTGTACACAAATGGAGCACAGTTTTTCACTTCTCTGGTTGTACATGAAGTAGAGTCATACCATTTGTGCAATCATATATGTACCTAGGGTAATGATGTCCATCTCATTCCACCATCTTTCCTACCTCCTCCCCTCTCTCCTTCCTCTTTACCCAATTGAAAGTTCCTCCACTCATCCCATGCCCCACCTCCATTTATGGATTAGCATCCATTTATCAGAGAAAACATTCGGCCTTTGGTTTTTTGGGATTTGCTTACTTTGCTTAGCATGATATTCTCCAACTCCATCCATTTACCTGCAAAGTCATAATTTTGTTCTCTTTTAATGCTAAGTAATATTCCATTGTGTATAGGTGCCACAGTTTCTTTATCCATTCATCTATTGAAGGTTGGTTCCACAGTTTAGTTATTGTGAATTATGGTGCTATAAACATTGATGTGGCTGCATCACTGTGGTATGCTGTTTTTAAGTCTTTTGGGTATAAACTGAGGAGTGGGTTAGCTGGATCAAATGGTGGTTCCCATTCCAAGTTTTCCATACTGCTTTCCAGAATGGTTGTACCAATTTGCAATTCCACCAGCAATGTATCAGTGTGCCTTTTCCCCCACACCTTTGCCAATACTTATTGTTGCTTGTATTCTTGATAACTGCTATTCTAACTGGAGCAAGATGAAATCTTGATTAGTTTTGATTTGCATTTTTTTCTAATTACTAGAGATGAAAGTGATGAAAATAAATAACCAAAAGGAACCACTGTTTGCTGTCCTATCCTAGGCTTCTTTGCTTCCTTCTGGTTCTTGTATGTTGATAATAATCTTTGAATTATCTTGGAATCCTCAAAGATTTAGAATACCTGTACTTTGTGCAGTCTTACTCAAGTCATTGGCATGGGGACATTTTGGAGAAAGCCATGTGATTGTCTCCTGATAGTCTGTGGATTTTAAGAAGCAGCATCTTGCATTATTTGGCCTGAAGTTTCCCCCAAAAGCCACGTTCTGTATGGGGGCTGTTTTCCATGCCTGTTTCCATCCTGGTTTCTTCTCTAGTGTACATTCCTGACGAGTGGGAGGTCGCTCGAGAGAAAATCACCATGAGCCGGGAGCTGGGGCAGGGGTCCTTCGGGATGGTCTATGAAGGAGTTGCCAAGGGTGTGGTTAAAGATGAACCTGAAACCAGGGTGGCTATCAAGACAGTGAACGAGGCTGCCAGCATGCGTGAAAGGATTGAGTTTCTGAACGAGGCTTCAGTGATGAAGGAGTTCAATTGTCACCATGTGGTAAGAGAAGTTCCCTGAAAAGCCAAGGTCTGACAGAGGAAAAAAAGCATCCCCAGAGAGCCCCAGTGTGTCTGTGGTGACACCTGTGGGTTTGGTGTCCCGCCCTCTACCTTCTAGTTATGTTACCCCATTGCCTCACCTGCAGAGCTTGGTTGGTAGATGTCCTGGTCCTCCCTGCTCCTGGCCACCAGGTCCCAGAAACACACAGATAATTTCAAGTAGCGTGAGTAATTGTGTGGACAACTCTTCCCCGACTGAGCTTTTCTCTTTTTGGTTCCTCACAGGTGCGGTTGCTGGGCGTGGTGTCCCAGGGCCAGCCAACGCTGGTCATCATGGAACTGATGACACGGGGGGATCTCAAAAGTTATCTCAGATCTCTGAGGCCAGAAATAGAGGTCAGTTTTGTTTTTCACCAACCTCACATGTTATCTCACCTGTAGAAAAATGTTTTGTCCTTAAATCAGTTTACTTTTTAATCAGCCTCAAGTGTTTCTTGCTACAACCTTGGTTACAGTCCTTATGTAAAGGATTTCCCAACTATAGTCAGTCCTTGACTTTTGTGAGAAGGACTTGTCTGTCCTTTCTCAGATCACTGTCCACGTAAGCAGCTCTGTGCCTTTGTGACTGCATTTCCTCATATCCATCCATCAGGCCATGTTGGTGCTGCCCCCCTCTCTCGTAACCTTGCCTGCCAGCCTGCCCTGCTGCCAGGAGTCATCTCCTCCTCCACTAACTTCCCCGTGCACTTGACTCATCTCCTAGCACAAATTGCCTCTTGTGGTTCTATGAGTTTATCCCTTCTTCACCCATCGACTTCAGTTTTTTCATTGAGCATGTAACTCAGGTCTCATTTGTGGCAGGCATTCTTTCCATAAATGCTTGTTGAAGTTCAGTGTTAGGCTGGATGGATTTTTGCCCTTATCTTTGGGAAGTTGCTAGGGTGATTTCCCACCCAGTTCTGTACACAAGACATCTGCTTACTCGCAAGCCCACCACACATGCACACACACACACACACACATACACAGCCCTTTCTCAAACTTTGCGTCTACATTTCAGGCTTGATCCTGTGTCTTGCATGCACTTTTGATATGATAATCATATCAGCTGCACAATGGCTGTTTAGTGTAATAAAAATTTCAACATGCTAGAGTCCTATGTGTTAGTCATTGTGGTGTCTCCCCTTCTGTCCAATTAGCCCATGAGCTGTTTTTTTTTTTTGGTTTTTTTTGTTTTTTTTTAACATATGGAGACCTGACTTGCATGTTATGAATTTTAAGAGTTAGCTGGTAGATAAACACTGGGAAATAATCCCAGGAACACCTTTCTTTCATTGCGATGCCTCAGTGGGTTTCAGGTCCTCACTTTGACCCTGACCTTTGCTACTTATGAGTTAAGCATGATACCTGCCTGCATTCCCTGGAAACAGTAAGTCCCACCCACTTTTTTTAACCCCTTTTGCATTTCTGTTGCCACTCTGTTTTTGTTTTCTTCTTTTAATCCGCAACCTGATCATCTCCCAAATGATAGTTCCTTCATATTAGTTCCAAGCACCTATTTACAAATGACCTCATTTATTTACAGCACATGGTATTTGGGGTGTTTTGAGAGCTACCACCTGAGTATGGCCTAAGGCTCTGAGCAGGGTGGTTGATGCCTCTCCCAGCCTCTGTCCCTCCCAGCCTCTGTCCCCAGCACCCCTGCATGGCAGTGCCTTTTCCTGGCTCACTTAAATCCATAAGCCCACATGCAGAAAACAAGCCTGATCAAGTAGGTGACTGGAGATATGGCAGAATATTCATTATTTGCCTTCATTACTGGAGGTATGGTGGGATATCCACTACTTGCCTCATTCCAGGCACTCGTCCTCCTTCTTCCCAGTTCAGGCAGAGAATAAAAATTTATAACATGGGTTTTGGTGCTTGCTCCGCCAGTGGTTACTACCTCTGGTCCTCCAACAGCTACTACAGGTTTCTGGGCCTCAGTTTCCTCATGTGTAAAGTAAGAGGGTTGGGAAGTGGTTACTGAAGTCCTTTTCAGATCTAAAATTCACCTTTAGATTTGTCAGATTTAAGTTTTGTCTAACTTATGTGAAGTATAAAAGTGAGTATTCATATCCTGCAGCTACATTATATTCTACTTGCCCTCACCCACAGCCAGTTCAGAATTGCTTTTTTATACTGCTAAGTATAGGTGCATGTATGCTTGTCTTCAGTAGCTCTCACCAAATTAAAGATTTGTGCTCTCTTAAGAAATATGAAATAATGGTAACACCATGAACTGACAAAATGTCAACCCTTTCTCCCAGTGCTTAAAATTAAGTTCCTTGTGTTGATTATTTCATATTATGAGTGACAACTTCATAGTAAACATCTGTACTTCATACGTACTCCAATAACTTAACTGTTATGAGTCTTACTTTGCATTTCACCTGCACACTTCCTGATTTACATGTTTAAAGCTCTGAAAAGGTTAAAAGGAAATGTTAGGTTCTAAGTGGCGAGAGCATATCTAAAGAAGACTCCTGTGTAAAAGGAGGAGATGATGTTGGCTTCCCTCAGTGACATGATGTCACTTCTCCAGATAACTGAGAGATGAGTATTTTGAGTCACCAGAGACCATCTTGATAGCCTCTTCAGAACCCATATATGTCCTGGAATGTGGAGAACCAACCTAGAAGTGCTGGAAGGGTTGTTAACTGCTTCTAGATACTGGCTTTCAGTGGAAACAGCCCCTCACTGGGCAAGAGCCAACACCCTCTAAGCCTTGGTCATGGGCCAGTTGATCATCCCAACATCGGACTATGGTGGAGACCATGTGGAAGAGCCCAAGCAGGAGTCCAGGTAGTTGGATACCAGAGCCCTGGAAATTTCCCATGGCCCTTGGGGCCTGAGCTAAGAAGGCAATGTGTAGAACCTGTCAGCAAAAATGCCTTTGCAATAGGGAAAACAAGGTAAAATTTGTCTCACTAGAACCCACAAAAGCTAGTTAACATTTAAACTATTGCATTATGATAAGTTTTTGCACTTTTTTTTTTTTAGGATAGAGAGCTTGGGACATGTATTATATGACTCTTTTTTCCAAATGGATTTATTACCATTTGAGGGTAATTCTTTTCAATTCTAAAGTGAATGTTTTGCCCTCTCTACAAAGAGGGGATGCTTATTCATATTGCTGGTCACTGTTTTATAATCTCCATGATAGCTTCAGCTGGACTTCATTTGTTCGTAATGCCCACAGAAAATAGTAGTACAAAGTGAAGAAATAAATCTTCATATCTTTGTGCCTTAGAAGTAAGTGGAAAGTAAAGGAGTTAGACAATTCCTGACAGTGGAAAACAAAACACACAGAGTCCATATGGGAAGCACATTTCGTGTTTCTGTGTGGCCTTTGTGATGTGCTCTATTTCTGTTCACCTGTGCTTTGATTATGGAAATCAAAGGAACATTTAAACAAATAGGAATCTGAGTAACCAAAAATCCTTAATATCAAAAGTTGCCTTAACCAAAACAGAAAATGTTGGTCCCAAGGAGTGTTAATTGGTATCTTCCTTAACAGCCCTGTGTGATGTAATCAAGGAGCAAGGACATGACTTCACCACCAAGCAGATGTCATGGTCTCCATAACACATTCCTTATAAGCACATCCTGATTTCTTTGCAGAATGACCTATTATGTTCAGATTGGACAAGGATGGATTTACATACCCTAAAGAAACTTGAGGTAGAAAAAATTCCTAAATTCTCAAGTGATTTTTTTTTTTTTAATCTCTAACAGAATAACCCAGTCCTTGCACCTCCAAGCCTAAGCAAGATGATCCAGATGGCTGGAGAGATTGCAGATGGTATGGCATATCTCAATGCTAACAAGTTTGTCCACAGAGACCTTGCTGCCCGAAATTGCATGGTGGCCGAAGATTTCACAGTCAAAATTGGAGGTATGTTCTTTGCTCTCCAGATCTAAGCAAGAACAAAATCTCAGTGTTTTAAGGGCCTTGTGGGCATTAGCCTATCTATGGAGAGGTTTTCCAGCTCATCCCCTGAGTGCAAAAACAATCAGTATGATTGTCTTCAGTTGCTAGTTAGTTGCAAACCTACCCAGGCTGGCTCTAATCCTGAGAGCATGTGGACATGGTGGTCCAGGTAGCTGACATGGTCCCCGAGGTTCCACTCCTCCTAAAATTTTAGGGAAAATACTTTTCAACATTAACTACAAAAATAATCAAGACAGTGTCCACAGGTGATCTCAGCTGGAGAAAAATCATCATCCAATCTTCCTGCAGTTTCCCTGACTTATAAGGGAAACTTCCTTCTCCCACAGAGTTTTCTAAGAGGTAAAGTGCCTCCACAATGAAGCCACTGCAACAGAGCAGGAATGGTGGCAGGGACAGTTACGGCAGTCCCTCAGTTGAGGAAGATCATGGCTTAATGGGTTTCATATCTGAGGTCCATCAGCCTTCATGCTGTTGACCCTGCTGTTAGGACAGTTATTGTTGTGATCTGGGCTTACCACACTACCAAGTAGACTCTGTGTTTCCACCGCTCACTACTGTAACAACAAAAAAAAAGTATTGGATTGAATCTCTGAAAGGCTGAAACTGTTTTCAGCCTTTTAGTTTGTTTTTGCTCTGGTCTTTCAATCTCCCTAACAAAAACATATAGTGTTTCTCAGGAAACCACCTGCTTTTACCATGACCTTCATCTTCCCACTATGATAGGATGATAGTTCATTTTAAAAAAAAAAGAAAGAAAGAAATATTTATACTCAGAATCTGCAGAGAAGACTTAACATGCAAAGACAACTACTTACAGTTTAACCTCTTTGTCTAGCTCTCAAACCTTGTGCTCTTAAGTGTTTGCCCGCATTTAGCAATACTTTTTTTTTTTTCCTTTAGCAATGATTTTTCAAATGAAATGTTTTGGTCCCTAGTGAGTGGTTTCCAAAGCAGAGGTGAATGTCTTTATTTGGCATTTATTTACAGTATCTGGAGATGCTAGAATATAACCACATCATAGATCAGATATCATTTAGTCATTGGAGTTACACATCCAGGATCCCCCAGTGTGTCCCTAGACCTGGCCCCTTGAGGAATCCTCACATTTGGTGCCCCATGAAGCCCAGCTTGGCTGTGCAGCCCTTCAGGAGGAAGAAGGGGCCCAAGAGGCAGTCCTCCTTCCCCAACCCACTCACTTGAGGGACTTAGAATGTATCTTCTGCCCAGTGTGCAGTGAGGCACCCAGTGAGGCTGAGGAGCAGATTCCTTCAGTCCTATGAGCCTGGTTTTTCTTTTTAGAATAAAAAAATTTTAGCTGTATTTGGGAAGAGAATTTTTTTCTGGGATTTTATTCTTTTCCCTTTTTTTTTTAATTTATTTGTTCTACTCAGTTATACATGACAGCAGAATGCTCTTTGATTCATTGTATACAAATGGAGCACAATTTTTTTACTTCTCTAGTTGTACCCAAAGTAGAGTCACACCATTCATGCAATCATAGATATGCCTAGAGTAATGATGTCCTTCTCATTCCACCATCTTTCCTACCCCCATGCCCCCTACTTCTTTTCCAGTTTTTGACAGCAAAAGCAAATGCTCTTATTTGCATGTCACTGGATTAATTCAGAGATAAGACTTCATTTGTATACTTCACAAGGTTTCATAAATGTTTTCCCAGTGCCCACTGTCTCATGGATTACAGGCATGACAAATAATTTCACTGAAGCCAACCTGATGGTCCTTAGCATGCAAGTAAATTATGTTGGTTAATGTCCAAGAAACTTTGTTCTCCTTGTGTTTTTGCTGTATAGCTTTACCTCTTTATGGCACAAGTTAGAGACATAATAGACATTTTTTAAAATCAGTGAAACCCTTTCTCGGAGAAAGGAAGAGTCCATGTTAGAAAAGGTTGTATGATTGAGTAGAAAATCAAAATCCAACAAAAGAAGCAATAATTCAGGATTATAAAGCAAACCTGCCATCAAACGTAATTCTGTGACATCTTCTAGAGACATAGAAAATGCAAGAATTTTTAAATATCATCTCTACAGTGCCTTATTGTACATTTTTTTAAATATTTATTTTTTAGTTTTAGGTGGACACAATATCTTTATTTTATTTTTATGTGGTGCTGAGAATTGGACCCTGTGCCTTACGCATGCTAGGCGAGCACACTACCATTTGAGCCACATCCCCAGCCCTTATTGTACATTTTTGTACTGTGAATTGTTACAGGAAATATTGTCCCCTTTTTTAAGTAATGAAGTTCCTTGCTTTTCCCTGGCCATAGGCCTTGCTATCAAGTAAATGAGAGGCTACACTCTCTTGTTTCTTTGATCAGGTTTTAGAATTATATGTCACTGATCCTTAGTTTATGCAATACATATTTTCTTGATAAATCTTGGGACTGAATAATTTGTCAATGGTCTCTCATTTTAAATGCAGCAAGGGAATTAAATGCTTAAAGGAACCAGAGTATAAATGTATTTAAAAGCAGAGATTTCTTGATATTTTCTTGTTATGTGATTAATCACCCTTTACTATTCCTTCCTTATGAAATTGCAAGCCTTTATATTAGTCCATCTCAAAGTGGAGTAAGTCTGTATGTACCTTGAACACAGAAGGGGTGAAGGGCCCTGTGCTTTGACAGTGACCATATACTTGCTTCTACCTTAAGAGCTGCTCCTGCAGCATAACTGTGTGCTTTCTCTGCACCTTCCAGATTTTGGTATGACAAGAGATATCTATGAGACAGACTATTACCGGAAAGGAGGGAAAGGGTTGCTGCCTGTGCGCTGGATGTCTCCTGAGTCCCTCAAGGATGGAGTCTTCACCACTCATTCAGACGTCTGGTATGAGAGCCTTTTTCTGCAAGGCCAGCCCAAGGCATCCAGCCTTCGCACATGCCACCAGTCAGGCTCAAGGGTTTTATTTTCCTCCTGATCTCTGCTCATTGCTATCTGTTTCCAGCTTTAGCTCAGTGTTTTATGGACTAAAGCTGAAAAATGACTTTAAAGCTGGAAGTGTGGGCTTTGAAGTGGTCCTGTTATTAGTGGGCTAGCTAAGGATAGAAGGGCATTTGTGGGACCAACTTTTTTTTCTTTTTTTAAGTCTTTAGCAGATGTTGATTGTGTTTCTGGGAGCTGGGACATGCCAAAAGGTTTCACATCTCTTTGTTTCTCCCTTTGCCTACGACAGTAGATGGTGTGCCTGTGTGTGATGCATTTGCATACGTGTGTGCCTGTGTCACCTAATTGAACCTTCAGATTGCAGAGAACACTTTATTTGGACCCAAAGCTTATGTTTCTTGATGTGTTGATCTCCATCTGCTGTCTGTCTTCTCCCAATGGGTGTTCATGGCTTTGTCCCCATAGATGGTTATAGAAAGCAAAATACCTCCCTTAGTTATAAAAATGTATTATGGTGGAAGATCATCAGCTAAGGGATGCAAAGACTTTCCTGTAGTACTCTTTATTGTATTCCCTGGACACATTGTATAAAGGCAGTCAGGTTCTGAAATAAAACTGAGATTCTTGGCAGACAAAAGCCCTGGCATATCAATCCACTTTCTCAAATGTCAGTGAGTGTCTTGGCTTTCCTCTTGGGAGATCCCATTGCTGTTGTATACAGAAATGGTAGTTGTTTACTCCAACTGTCCGGATGACTGCATAAGGGAACTATTTCAATAGTGACTGACATCATTTTTTAACCTCATGAACTTTTCCTTCACAGTCAAGGGCCTTAGATCTTATTTTGAAGACAGGTACAAATTGAAAATAGCATTTGAATATGACCCAGCCAAGCCTGATTGTTTCTTGAGCTAAAGGATTAGATCTGTTCTACAGTCAGCTTACCCAAGATGGTTACCTCTTTTCTGTTAAATCAAAGTGTTAGAAATTTGAGGTGTCAGAAGAGGGCATACCTGGGTGCACACATGCATCTGTTTGTCTAAGCTTTTTGCTTCCAGAAGCTTTGAGGTCAATTTATAGGGTAGGAAACAGAAGCAGGGTAGGAAGATAAAGCTAGAGTTGTTAATACTTCACAGGCTCACTCTCACCAAATTCAGTTACCAACTGTCACTTCAGAGACCAACAAAGGTTGAGACTACATAGCCATTATGAACAAGTAAGAAAAGATATCCATAAAGGACAGTAGGCATTTGGAATTCATTCCCTTAAATAGCCAGGCATTGGAAGTGCTTTGGGCTTTTGGGCATTTATCCAGGCCTTTGAGGATAACACATTGGGGAAGGCCAGGGTGCTTCTTGGGCTCTATCCTGAAGCTGTCCCCTCTCTAAAGAATGGAAATAATTTTAGATGATGTTCAGTAGCACAAAACAATCATTCCTAAATAGTTAAGGACTAGGAAATATGAAGAATTTTGTCTGGGTTTTGTAGACGAAAACTCAGAATCCTAAGGTTGGGAGACACCCCAGAGGTCAGTGTCCTGAATCCCCTTACTGTATCCTTCACAGCTGGCATTTGAGCTTCTGCAGAGATGCTTCCAGGGGCTACGTGTTCACTCCCTCAGCCTGGCCAGCTGGACTTTTCAAATGTCTATATTTTTCTCACACCCTTCTTACAGTCGGCCTCTCTAGGACACCGTTTTTGCCCTTCTGTCTGCAGCATAGTCACACATACTGCTCTGTTCTTGGTCAGGCTATGGAGTCATCCAAGACTTGTCTCTGTCCTCTAGTTTAATACCCTGGGGTCCTGCTGTATCCTAGGTTTATTCCTTGGGTCCTTGGGCCTTTGGGAACTGTGGCTGCTCCTTTTGCAGTTCCTTCATCCTTCTCAAATGGCCCATGTGGATTAAAGAGCATGGTGTGCCCCTAGATATGTGGAAAACCAGGCAGAGGGGGCTGGGATTGTGGTTCAGCAGTAGAGTGCTCACCTAGTATGTATGAGGCACTGGGTTTGATCCCCAGCACCACATAAAAATAGATAAATAAAATAAAGATATTGTGTACAACTGCAACTAAAAAAAAAGGTAAATATTAAAGGAAGGAAGAAAACTAGGCAGAGGATGGGGAGTGGGACTTGACAGCATATTGTTGCTCCCTTCCTGTGCACCACCCCCCCACACAGTCTTCATTTCTTGACTTGTTAAGCAATTTTCCAGAGAGGCACAAATTCCAAGGTTATTTGCTTCTTTGGTGACTAATTCCGAACAATGGGGAATATGGATTTCTTTGTAGGTGTCAATTTGCTGGTGGCTAGAACAGATATGCACTAACCTCTTTCCCCACCAAGTAAGATGATACCGTGGGGTCTGTGTACTTGGAGGAAACACCCCAGTGTTCATGCTTAAAGAAGACTTTACAAAGAGGCATTTGTCTAATGTTTAAAGATTAAATCTGTCCACAAAATACTTGCTTTTGGGTGAAGGCATTAGTAGGTAAGTTCATGCAGTGAAATGCCTTCTTTGAAAAACATACAGGTGATGCATATTTCTCAGTGCCTCTGCCTGACTACGTGGCCTTGGTCAAGTCACCAGGCTTCTCTGGGCTCTACTGGCTTGTCAGTTAGGTGAAGAATGTCTAGGGATGCCTGTGCTCTCTGCTCCTTCTGTGGTACTTAGATAGATGTTTAAATGGCTGTTATGACAACTGGTGTTAGGTAGAAATGACACAGCCCTGAACCCCGGAGCAGAAAAAGAATGGAATGTAGTTTTGTATTGAACTGTGAAGGACAACTACAGACTGGAGCACTTAGTGTCACAAGGACAGATGAAACTGACATCAGACAAGAGTCATTCAGGAAAAAAAAAATTTGTAGTTCAATATAATAAGAATTAGTGGTGAACTGTGTCTATTGCTTCCTGTTTTATTTCATATGTGTGATTGTGACGTTATCAGTTTGTGGAAGAAGCACATACAACAAAAGAAGCCATCCCTGTCCACAAGGGATTAAGTCTTATAGAGAAGAGAAAGTGACCTGGCAGGTTGGGGTCAAGGAAACCTTCATAGACGAGATGAAGTTGTAGGACCACCCCACTGCCACCAATGAAGCAATGGGGAAAGGGGTTCCTGGCAGGGAATGCTGGGGGAGAATGGGGAATAGTAGTACTTTCTTGAGGAAATCAGGTTATTTACATGGTTACTGTGTTAGGGATTTGGGATCTATTCTGCAGGCTCTGAAAATTAAGGTTTCTGAATAGGAGAGTGACCTAGAGCTGTGTTACAAGAAAGAAGTTCACATTAGCTGGAATGGAAGGGTGCAATAGGCTGGGCAAGGAAGACCACCTGCACAAAGGAAGCACTGGGGGTGGAGAAGGAGGAACCACATACGGCTTGAACAAACCTGGGTCTTAACTGCCAAGTCATGAGACCTCAAAGAGGCTAGGGTGACCACAGGTGTACCACTCCAGTGGAATGGGACATTGGCTGTAGGGAGGCTGAGAGAAGAACAGGAAGCCTGATAGTTCAGCTTGAGACACACTGAGTTTGTGGAGGAGCTTGGAGTAGAGCTATGGGGCTCCAAGGGCCTGGGTGGAGCCATCCAGTTAGAACTGGCTGCCTGAAAACTGGTGACCTGGCCAGGAAAAGTGGTGGGGCTAGAGAAGTGGGGTTGGCAGAAGCCATGTCCTCAGATCATTTCTCATACCAGCCGGTAGTTGGCAAAAATAGAAAGCTCATCACTTTTGCTGGGTGGCATTGCAGCCTCTGAGCGTATGCTGCTTCTGTGACGGGCAGGTTTGGGAAAGCAGAGCTTCCCCACTATTGAGTTGATGGAAAACTTGATTCCTTTGCCCAGTTCTTTTAAAAGCCATGCTTTGGTTTTTATGGGTCTCTTTGTACTTCTGAAGACTATTTCTTGGTTACCTGCAGTTAGAAAGGACCATGGGTGGGTCAGTCCTCTGATTGCTAAGGTTCTGTTTCTAATGTGCTTTTTATATCAATTTATACAAAAACTTTTTGTTCATGGGAAAGAACTGAAGCAGTGAATAAAACATTCTGATACAGTCAATCCCCCAAGCTTCTTAGAGCTCTGGGTGGGAAATACCTTGCCACAGGTTTTTCCGTGAGGCTTGGCTAGTACCCTGTGCCAGGTTCCACGAGAAGCCTCATAGGCAACTTGCTCACAGGCAGTCTGACTTATTCCACTGATGTGACCCTGGCATAGTGCAAATAGGTCAGGAAGAATTTGTGAAGGTGGGCATTTACCCTGGGAAGCTACATTGATTTTGCAGATTACAGCATTGCTTTCTTGAACATTATCTATCTGAAATTTCTACATAAATGCCTGTTTTAATTTGAACTTCTGAACTGATAGGCAAATCTGCAGGAATGGTAGAACTGCTCACCTCTTTGCCTACCAAGTTCATTGTTCAGTGAGCCTCTGTGGAAGGAGATTCTTATTGTTGTGTCACTCACTACTCATGGGCCAATGCAGCCCACCCGAGACCCCTACCTGTGGGGCAAGGCCTCTGAGCCAGCAGCTCCTGGGCTCTTTGCAAGTTCAAGGGTTCTCTTCTCTCTCCTGAGTCAAATCATGATCCCTGTAGAGCTTTTAAACATTCCAAGGCCCAGGGCCCCCGACCAATCAAATAAAAGCTCTTACTGGGAGCCCAGGCATCAGTCTATTTAAAACACTCCCAGGAGGTTCTCTTGTGTAGCAGTGTTCAGAAATTCTGGGATAAAGATTTCTAAGCTGATCATAAGAATCTCCGGAGGAGCTTGTTAAGATTTATTATCCCAAGTCAGTGACTGGCTAGAACCTGGAGGTCTGCATTTTTTTTTTTTATTATTCTTAGAATAAAACAAATTTGGAAAGTACCTCCCTGTGGGGGTAAATGGCTGGAACTAAGCACTGAGGGCTGTGATCTAAATCAGGAACTTCTGCACCATGTAGGGATTGCTGAAAGCTCCCCCAGCATCAGTTGCCTCAGCTCTGCCATGAGGGCTAAAGTTGCAGGGAACATCAGTGGTGATGGGGGAAGGCAGATGTCCCACATTCAGCGAAGTGCCTGGCTCACTGCCAAGCAGTCACCTCCAGGAGGACAGTTTTTCAGTGCCTAAGGTTGAGGAAATATTGGAAAAGGGGGGCAGAATGGTCCTGCCCGTCATTCTCCAAGCTGCTCATGTATCTTTTCTCCCTGTAGGTCCTTCGGGGTTGTCCTCTGGGAGATCGCCACACTGGCCGAGCAGCCGTACCAGGGCTTGTCCAACGAGCAAGTCCTTCGCTTCGTCATGGAAGGTGGCCTTCTAGACAAGCCGGACAACTGCCCCGACATGCTGTATGTATTTTCTGAGCCCCCTCAGCTCCCTTTTGATTTATTTCCTCAAATAACTGTTTTCCTGAGTCATGTAAGATTAAAAATTACAGGAACCAGAAATTCTTTCTGGTCCTATGGGTGTGGTGATGATACCGAGCAGATTAGAACAGCCTTATTTATCCTCTTCAGAAGATCTTACAGGTCCTATGCCTTTTGGGCTAACACCCTAATTCCTTAATTATTCAGTTCTAATTTTCAGTTTGCTCTGTTTCTGAGTCCCAATGTCTCCATAAAATATTTGACTAAAGCAATCTTTGCTCATCTTTTCCACGTAAGGATTAAAAAAAAACAAAGTCAACAACACTATACTTACTACTCCTTTCTTTTTTAAAAAAATAAATATCTGATTTTTTTAAATCTTTATTTTGTTTATGTATTTTTATGTGGTGCTGAAGATTGAACCCGTGCCTCACATGTGAGAGGCAAGCACTCTGCCACTGAGCCACAATCCCAGCCCCACAATACTTACTACTCTTAAGTCAACTTCAAGGGTTTGGCTTCTGAAAACTTTTATGTAATGGGGGTATGTGCTTCATAGGCCTCACTTCTCAATGCTTCTTGGAAATGCTCCCAACATTTGTCAACTTTCCATCACTCTAACAAATACCTCAGATAATCAACTTACAAAAAGAAAAGGATTCTTTTGGCCCACAGTTGTGGTGGTTTCAGTTGTTGATCAGTTGGCATGTTGCTTCAGGGGCTGGGATAGGCCAGCACATCATGTCAGAAATGCATACCAAAGCAAAACTGCAAACCCCATGGCCTCGAAGCAGAAGTAAGCCAGAAGGAAATGGGGTCCTACTGTCCCCTTCAAGGACATGCCCTAATGATTTTGAAGAGCTCCCAGTAGGCCCCACTTCCCTAAAGGTTCCACTATCTCCCAGCAGCATCAAGCTGGGGACCATGCCTTCAACACATGGCCTTTGGAGAACTTTAGTATCAAACTATAACACCCACCTGGTGTTTTGTGGCTTGGTAGAGGTCCAGGCTGCTGAAGTGGGTGGAGGACTAGTTGTTCTTCCTGGAGTAAAGTTGGGGAGATATAAAGATGTTCTGTTTGGATCATCAGTTACAGGACAGGTATAGAATGGGAGCATCAGGCTAATTTTTTATGTGTACATTAAGGCCCAGGCTCAGAGATTCTTCTGTATCCCAATAGCTAGATAAGAAGTAGGTTCTACTAGTATATCAAAACTTTGGGAATTTTCTAAAAATGCTTTTCAAGACAGGTTTTGCTTTACTTGAGAAAGCACTCCAGAGGAATTGTTGGGCTGTTTTTATGTCTGCATGAAATGTCACACAGATCTTCCTACCTACCCATACACCCTCCTTCAGTAAGTAAGTAAAGTACTGACAAGGCTGGAGCCCCATAGTGGCAGGATGATTTACAGGCAGGAGTTGGACACATGTCTGTGAGCACAAGGGAATGGACCCCAGCAGCCATGAAAGCTTTCTCACATGGTCTCTCAGGTGGTCTTGGGCCAGAGATCCATGCAGGTGTGCCAGCTCCTCTGCTCAGTCTTATGAAGCTGAAATCAAAGTGTTGAACAGGTTGTGATCTCATCTAAGGCTCAGAGTCATCTTCCAGCTCCTCAGGTTGTTAGCAGGAGTTGGCTCCTCGTAGCTGTAGGACTGAAGTCCCTGTGCTCTTACCACTTGTTGACTGGGCACCATATTCAGCCCTGGAGGCCATTTGAGTCCTTGCCACATGCCACTTCCATTGACCATCATGGGAGAGCAGCTTATTTCTTCAATACCTACAAGACTTTTCTGCTTCTACTGTTTTTATCCTGATTAAGTCAGATCCACCCAGGATAATCACACTTTTGTGCAATTCAAAATTAAAGGAGTCAAGTGTCATGTTTACAAGACCCCCTGCCATACATACAGATGAGGGGACTCTGTTTACACCAGAGGTGGGGATCTTGAGACCATCTTAGGATCCCACAGCCTCAAAAAGGGAAGTCTTTGTCTATCAGCAAAACAAAGTCTTGTTTTTTATTTCAAAGCACTTTGATTGTTACTCCCAAAACTGCATTCCATGTACAGGAAGTGAGCTTCATTCCCCTGGCTCTAGCTGTGTGAGTGAAGCGGGGAACTCAATACAGCACCCTCTGCTTCAAGGTGGTATGCAGTAAACATTATGTTCATTAGTTGCTGCTTCTGAACATCAATCCAGCAGAAACCTGTTCTGTCCCAGGGACACTTTGCATGAATTAAGAAAGAAAGCTGCAAGGAGAATGCCAAAGAATGCCCCCATGAAGGCATCCTCCTCTCATTGGCTAGTATGTGTGTGTATGTGGTGGGAGGGTGTTCCATTTTCTCCTCTGAGCATAGGAAATCAGGGAGTGGCTTGAGCCTGGGGGCAGTCCTAGGCCTGCTGGGCCTCCCATTATCCCTTGTCAAAGAGACCTCCTAGTACAGGCTTTTCAGAACTCCACAACCCAAAGTTGGAAGAGACCTTGCCCAGCATATAATCCCACCTCTCCCCACCTATACGCAAAACCTGATAGTTGAAAACAACAATTAGTATCAATTATCTCACAGAGTTTCTGAAGATGAGGAATCTGGGAGTGGCTTAGTGGGATGGCTCTGGCTTGAAGTCTCTGGGTTCTTGCTGTCAAGCAAATGGGGTTGTGGTCCTCTGAAGGCTCACTCAGGGTGGCAGATCTTCTTCCAAGGCACCAATGTGGATGTGCACCATGTAAGGTCTCACTTTCTATGTGGACCTCCCCATAGCACCACTGGAATGTCCTTTATGACACACAGATGGCTTCCCTTAGAGCAGGGCTCAGCAAACTCTCTAAAGGGCCAGATAGTCAGACAGTAAATATTTTTGGTTCTGTGGGCCCTCACAGTCTTGATTGCAACTACTCAGCTTTGCTGCTGTGTGCAGAAGCAGCCATAGAGATCATATAAATGAGCATGGCTGAGGTCCAATAAAATTTTACTTTTGGATACTAAAATTTGAATTTCATGTAACTCTGTGCTGTCACATAACAGTTTTTCTTTAATTTTTTCCCCAACCATTTGTAAATGTAAAAGCCATTTGTAGTTCAGAGGCCCTACAAATTCAGGGAGACAGCAGGCCAAATTGGGCCCATAGACCTATAGATTGCCTGCTCTGCCTTGCCCTGGAGCTAGTGATCCATAAGCAAAGTGGCCTCCGGTGTCCTTTCTGACCTAATCCCAGAAGGAACACTCTACTGCTTCCAACTCCTCCAAGTTTTCAGTGTGGGAGGGGATTACTCAGAGAAGCTCTGGGAGTCCTGAAAGCTGGTTTCCACCTTCTGTACATGCAGTGTCCCTTATAGGTGGCCATCTGCTGCCCACCTTGAACAGTAACTGCTGAGGTAAAATGTAAGAAAGGGAGCTATGAGCCCTGATGCCCACTGAATTTGCATAAAGGTACATAGTGCCAGAATAGATTTGAATACTAGAATTAGTGGTATTTAGCAAGCTTAGAAATAGCCCAGGAAAGCAGGTGTGAGTTTTGTTCCTGTGGTTTGGTGCTGGTTGAGGGAGAGGTATTGCTTTTGTGCTTTTTCTTAGACTTGGATAAATGTTTGTCTCTGGGAAACTTGTAGGACTCTTGAAGTTGATCCATTTCCAGATGACTGGAGTTTCACTATTAATTCAATATGCCTGGGAAGCAGCCCACCTGCCATGGGAAAGGCAGTGGACTTCCTGTTCCCAGCGTGGAGGATGAGGAAGTTTACACAGAGAGGTTACCCTTGGATAAGAAATGTTTAATTCACAAGGCATTTCTGCTTTGCCATCCAGAACCCCTTTGGCAAATTTATCTCCCTTCTAAGAAAAGAAAAGAAAAAAGGGAGGTGAGCTGGTTTCATAGGGAGTGGATGTGTCATCCTTCTGAATTTACTGATGAGCTTAGTGAAGTTGAAGGGTTCTGGGAGAGGAGTTCTTTTGTTATAAGGATGAAAAAAAATGGACTTTGTTTATCCCAGAGGAGAGCAGAGTCCTAAGCCCTTGGGAGTTGCCTAAAACCTACTGGGTCTCAAGTGGGAGAGGAAACCTTTCACCATTGTGGTTCTGCTGTTGGAACAGGTACTCTCTAGCCATGTCATAGCCCCTAGGGGACTCAACTCAGTATCAGGAAGACCCTTCAGCAGTTTAGTGATGCCTATACATAAAGTCAGTTGCCTCAGGAGTAGCCAAGCCCTCATTCCTCAGTATTACATAGTCTTCTAGCCTTAGAGGAAAGATTGCAGTCTGAGCCCCAGGGTATTCAAGTCTCAGCCTCATAACTCAGTTTGAATTAATTCAGCAAGTGTCATGAGATCAGCTTTGGTTGTGGTTCCCTGCTGCATCCACATTTTAAAGTGATGACAAAGCCTGTCCTGAACCCTGTTTTATGCTCAGATCCCAGTACCTAGGCCACAAACATCACTGAATGTTCCAGGTACATGCTGGCTATTAAAGTCACAAAGATAAGTAAGGAGTGATCCTCGATATCATGAAATCTGGAGGCATTAAAGGCCCCAGCTCTAACACTGCAGGATAAGGGATAGAGCAGAGGGTGAACTCAGCTATAAAAACTCAGGCAAAGAAGCCACTTGTTCTGGTAGCATGTCCACAGCCCTGCACATCAGCTTTTTATTCTGCAGGATTCAGGAAAGAATTTGAACTTTTTAAACTCAAGAGAGTCATCAACTCATAGAAACACACTTGGTAGTATCTGATCATTTTTGTGATTTTCAAGGAGTTTTTCCTTTTGCTGATTAAAGTGCCCACATTGCTGGAAATCCTAGGTTGGTTTTGTGGAAATCAAGTGCATGAGTCGGCGCTACACAGGCAGGATGACTGCACCTACCCAGTTAGCCCTGGTGTGAACTTTGCCACAGCATGCAAGCCATACTTCTCTGCTGCCCAGGGTTCTCCTTGCTGACTTGTTGGAATCTGACTTGAGGTATCCACCAGGACTCATTGGCTTCAGTGTGTCCTGGATCGTGGAGCCAGGGCTCTGCCTTTGCAGGGCCTGCAGCAAGCAGGTGCTGGATTGAGATGGCATGCTTGGAATTTGCACTTTTTCTAACTGGCAGCCCTGCCACCTCCATCCTGGCTAGGAAGTGGCTCAGAACAGCCCTGGCTATTCAGGGATGCTAGGAGGAGTACATACTCAGCCCTGCAGAACCTCTCTGGAATCTAGTCTTTCTGCAGTGAAGGTCGACACTGGGCTGAGACTCAACTAACGTCCACCAGCAGGAATGCTTGGGTCATGAGATGCCCAGTGCCACTCGGCTCACTGACACTTTCCATAGATCACAGCCTGTTCAGTTCAAGATGTCAGATGTCAAGGACCAAGAGAAGGGTGGGAATATGGAAGCGTGTCTGTGTGCATACAACCCTGGCTGCCACACAGACTCTTAGGGGTATAGTTCCATCCTGGGAAGCTGCTTCAAAACCAGGCAGGAGTCCCATTGCAGCCTTGTTGCTACCCCAGATGGTGCCCCATGAACTTTCAGTAGAGGACAGTGCTTTTCTCATCAGAGCTTACCAGTGGTAAAAAATGTGCTTTTTAACAGAAGAGTTTTATCAGCTCATAAATCCTTCTGGAGTCTACTGGGGAGTTTTCTTGTGGAAATAGTGTAAACAAGGTCTTGAATCCCACAGAGTAAAAAAAGGCTTCCTTTTATGGGTAGCCCTGCAAGGGCTATGACTCTGGAACGATTTAAGGGAGGCATCACATGGCGTGTTTGTGCTAATGTCACTGCATCATGGCCCTGTTGGTGGCACCTCCTTGGCCCCCGGCCTCAGGGCATAAAGCCAGGTACAGCTCATGTTTTCAGCCCAGGCCACACACTGCTCGGGGTTAAGCCAATCAGCCAGACAGGAAATCACAGCCCAGACACAAAAATTGTTCCATATATTTGTGGCCCATTTCAATTAACTAATTAATTTTGATCTTTTTTCTTAGAAAGACATGTCGATATAGGAAGACAGTTCTGTTTACTGTCTGACCAGAGGGGGAGACAATACACTAGCTGCTGGTTTATCAGTGCAAATCAAACCCTTCCAGGACATAGACTATCCAGTAGACAGCCAAGACAGGGTGATCTCCTAGCAGGACCATAATCCCTTTGGCTGAGGCAACCAAAGTATAACCATACTGTTTTACAGAGAGCCCCATCCCTACTTTGCCTTTGCTAGTTTTGTGATTGTCATTTGTGAAATGAGGATGCATTATAATAAACAGCCCCTCCTTCACAGACCTGGGAGGACCAAGGCAATTCCCACACATGAAGCTCCCGTTGCCTGGTACTGTGTGTACTGTCACCTGCAGTCACTCGGCACTAACACCTACCCTTATGGTTAGTGCCACACCCAGGTTTACTTGGGAGGGAAGATAATTAGCCTTCCTCTTTTGTCTAATTCCTTTTCCTCCAAAGCAGGTTTTAGTCACATTTTTCTACAGAGGAACCATAAATATTTTAGGCTTATAGGCTAAACAGCCTCCTTTTTAACTCCCCAACCAACAGTTGGAACTTCAAAGCCACGGAGGATATGTAAACAAGTGGATTCTGCTGTAATTTGCTGGCCCCCCAGGCCTCTAGAACATTGAATTCTGATGGATCTCCCTCTTGCTCTCTCTCAAAGGTCACTACCCTTCAGACCCAACCTGAGGTCTTCTGAGGAATCTGACCAGGTTGGCAGGGGAGCCTTCCTCTCTTAAGGCAGCTTCTGCACCCTACAGGCAGTTTTTGTTTTGTTTTGTTTTGTTTTTAAATTTGTTCTTTTTAGAGATACATGATAGTAGAATTCATTTTGACATATTATACATACATGGAGTATAACTTTCCATTCTTCTGATTGTACATGATATGGAGTTATACTAGTCATGTATTCATATATGAACACAGGAAAGTTATATCCAATTCATTCTATTGTCTTTCCTATTCCCGTCCCCCTCCTTCCCTTCATTCCCCTGTCTAATCCAGTGAGCTTCTGTTTCAGGTGCTCTGAGCTTCCTGGATGGGGGGAGTTCCATTTGGCAATTTTTAATCAAAAAGCATTTCTCCAGAAGCTTTAGAACAGAAGTGTATATTTCCAGCAAGAACAGAGGTGTAAGGGGAGGCACTTTGGTTTCATGCTCATGTGGGGCAGGGAAGCTGGCTGACTCCTCCTCAGAACCATGGCTACCCCTGCACTCTATCTAGCCCTTTGCTACTTTGCCCTCCAATTTTCTGCTCAGGTCTCTCTCTCTCTGTTCTGTACCAGTTCTGTTCTTGTCAAAGTCTGGGCCTTTCCTGGGTTGGGCAGCTGACTGCATTAGTAACAGCCTACCTCCTTTCTTCTTCCCTTTGTGACCTCTGTTCCACATGACCAGGAGGAATTCATGGAGATTGGTGGCCCAGCTGATGTGACTGAAGTGTGGCTTGGGCTTATGCTCTGTTCTCTGCCTGCCCCTGGCTTGTGCAGGGTACTCTTGCCCAGGGTTCTCCTTGCTGACTTGTTGGAATCTGATTTGAGGTCTCCACCAGGACTCATTGGCTTCAATGCATCCTGGATCATGGAGCCAGGGCTCTGCCTTTGCAGGGCCTACAGCAAGCAGATGCTGGATTGAGATGGCATGCTTGGAATTTGCACTTCTTCTGTCTGGCAGCCCTGCCACCTTCATCCTCCCATCCTCTGCCAAGGATATCCCTGCACTAGAATGAAGCTTGGATATGGCATAGGTGGGGCTCAGAGAGATTGCCATCAGGAAAGCCAAGATGGCTCTCAGTTTTATTTGTGAGAAATGGGAGTTTCCTACAGTCTGATTCTGGAAACAATGTTTCGGCAAGGGAGTGTTCAGCTAGAAAGTTGGCCCGTTTTATTTCTTAGCACTGCCACTATAAATAAAGACATGCACCAAGATTAATCCTCCTCGGGAAATTAGGTTCCAGTAGGGCTTGGGTACTGGGGGTATTGAAAGGAATGGTGGGAAGTAAGAGGGCCAAAAGGATGGACAGCCAGAGGCTTAGAGAAGTGACAGAGCAATCCTCAGCTCTTACTGTGGGGAGTGGAACATGGTGAGAGGTCCAGGAGGCTACCTGGTCTCCTTAGCTTGGCCAGTCTGGGCCTATCTTGTGTCTGTCTCCCCTCAGGTTTGAGTTGATGCGCATGTGCTGGCAGTACAACCCCAAGATGAGACCTTCCTTTCTGGAAATCATCAGCAGCATCAAAGACGAGATGGAACCTGGTTTTCGGGAGGTCTCCTTCTACTACAGTGAGGAGAACAAGCCACCTGAACCTGAGGAGCTGGACCTGGAGCCTGAAAACATGGAGAGTGTCCCCCTGGACCCCTCGGCCTCATCGTCATCCCTGCCGCTGCCCGACAGACACTCAGGACACAAGGCTGAGAATGGCCCAGGCCCTGGGGTGCTGGTTCTCCGAGCCAGCTTCGATGAGAGACGGCCTTACGCGCACATGAATGGAGGACGCACAGATGAGAGAGCCTTGCCGCTGCCCCAGTCTTCAACCTGCTGATTCTTGGATCCTGAATCCCGTGCAAACAGTAACGTGTGTGCACACTCAGCGGTGGGTGGGGGGAGAGAACGTTTTAACAATCTATTCACAAGCCTCCTGTACCTCAGTGGATCTTCAGAACTGCATTGCTGCCCACAGGAGACGGCTTCTCTGCAGTAAAACACATTTGGGATATTCCTTTTTTCAATATGCAAGCAGCTTTTTATTTCCCTACCCAAACCCTTAACTGACCGGCCTCTAAGAACCTTAATGACAATACTTAATAGCAACAGAACACTTGAGAATTGAGTCTCCTCATATATTCTCTCTCTCTCTCTCTCTCCCTCTCTCTCTCTCGCTCTTGCTCTCGCTCTCCCTCTTTCTTCTTTCTTTCCTTTTTCCTTTTCTGCTTCATAATGGAAAAATATTTGCCACAAACCCAGCCGGGAAGCCCTTTTTATCAGATGGAGGAAGTGGCTCTTCCTGGGATTCCACGTCACCCTGTGTATACCTGCCTGACACCACAGGTCTTTATAAAACACACACATACACACATTGAGACGGAGTTTTTTAACTGTGTCTTTAACCTTTCTAGTGTCATCTAAAATTCAAAAAGGGCCATTGTTCATCCATGGTTGTTACCATTGTAATGCTGCCAAATTTTGCCAAAATCCTGAACTTTCTCCCTTATCATCCACACCCCCCCCTGCCCCCACACACATTGATTTTCTTCTGTCCAGAGGAATGGGGTGAGCATGGTATCATTTATGAGAAATATTGGTGATGTACTCCATCTGACTGTTCCCCAGGTGCTTTCCAAGCCCACATCCACCCCAGTCTCGTTGCTTTTGATGACTAGGTTATTATTTGGGGGAACTGGACAAAATGGGACCTTCCATCAGTGAAGATGGGGAAAGGCTGAACCAGGTTCCCCACCCCACTCCCTACCTCCACCCCTTTCCCTCTGAGAATTCTGGAGGAAACAGACCCTGAGTTAAACCTAAAAGCCAGACTAATGGGTCCATGTGGACATCATGCCAGTTTCCTCCCCCAGCCCCAGCACCCGCTCCTGACCCGCCAAGGAACACAGATGAGTTTCCAGGGACCCAGCCCAGCCATTTGTGCAGGTGTGCAAGGAAAGGGGTTCAGACACCACAGCAGTGAGAAGAAGTGCAGGCAATGGAGTCAAGCATTCTAAGCTTTGTTGACATTTTCTCTGTTACTAGGACTTCTTCATGGGTCTTACAGTTCTATGTTAGACCGTGAAACATTTGCATACACATTGTCTTTAATGTCACTTTTATAACTTTTTTACGGTTCAGATATTCATCTATACGTCTGTACAGAAAAAAAAAAGCTGCTATTTTTTTTGTTCTTTATCTTTGTGGATTTAATCTATGAAAACTTTCAGGTCTACCCTTCTTCCCTTTCTGCTCACTCCAAGAAACTTCTTATGCTTTGTACTAGAGTGTGTGATTTTTCTTCCTTTTCTCCCAATAATTGATACTTCTAGAACATAATTTGCCATGAACTGTTTGATGCCTTTTTATAAATTCATCTCCCCTTTCCCTGATCCCCCAGGCCCATTCATTGTAGGTTTTGTGGGCACGAGGCTGGTGCAGGAAGGAGGCAGATCAGAAGCTCGGGCCAAGGTCCCAGTGGGTCTTGCTTCCTCCTTCCCCTGCCTCCCTTCTCGTGGCATTGGAGTCTGTTACAGCGCAGGACACGATGCAAACTCAGGTTAGACAAAAAAAAAAAAAGGTTGAATATCTCACACATCCTTGTTCAGTGTTTATAGTCCCCATCGTTGAAAGTCTCACCTTTCCCTTGCCTTTGTTTTGGTTGTGACACACATATATATATATTTTTTTAACTATTGGGTACAACAGCAGTTTTAACTGCAGACACTAGGCATTTGGATTACTATTTTTTTTTAAATGGATATTTAATCCTTCCATCCCACAGAAAACAGCTGCTGAGTCCCAGGGTGCAGCAGAGTGTGGCCCAACAGGCTCCCCTCTACTACCCTCCACCACCACCCTCACCATACCGACCTACCTGTCTCTAGAAACAGAGCATCCTAAGGGACTTCTCCCACACTAACAGGGAACAGGACCCCGGCATCCCAGCTGGCCCAGGGACAGCATCCTCAGGGGTGTGTACAAGCATATCGCCAGGTCTGCTGGCCTGAGTGCCAGGTCAGGGCAGTGCCAGCGCTGTGGCAGTCCCAGCCCTTTGCTCTTTCCCAGGGGACCAGAACCCTGGCGCTGGTGTGCTGTTCCTTGGCCAGGAATCCCAGTCCTTCAGGCCCGAGGGGTCTTGTTCTGTTTAGTTTTTTAGCACTTCTCACCAGAGTGATGACAGCACAAGAGTTGCTTCTGGGATGGAAATGTTTAAATTATGAGTAAGAACAAAACTCGAAGATGATGATTGCTAGTTGTGACTGGAGATTAAACACAAAAAAAGAAAGTCTGTAGTGCATTTTTGCTTGTCAGTAGTTTCAATCTCACAACTTTTTCACTAGCCTCTGTCCCACAGTGTTTTTCCTTAAAAAAAAAAAAAAAAAGAAAGAAAAAAAGAAAAAAGATAATCAAGAAGGTATTATATGTAGGAGTTTTCTTTTAACTTATTTTGTAATACCAGTTTTAATCACTGTAGAAAAGCCCCCATTATGAATTTAAATACTGAGGAAAGGATGTGTGTGTGTGTGTGTGTGTGTGTGTGTGTAAGATGGGACAGTTTTTTGATTTTGGGGTTTTTTTTTGTTGTTTTTCAAACATTTATCTACCTCACTCTTATTTTTTTTATATGTGTATATAGAAAAAAAAAAACAATACATCTCACATTTCTCAGCACCTGACAATAGGCCGTTGATACTGGTAACCTCATCCATGCCACAGGCCACACACCCAGGTGATGCAGGGAGAGAGGCCAGGCTGTTTTCCGGGGTCAAAACAACACTAACTCACCTCTCCACTCATTTCAAATGGCTTGCCTTTTTCTGAGATGTCTCATCTCATGTTGCTTTTCCTTTTTTCCTAACCTGGTTCCTCAGAGGCTGGGAGGTATTAGGATTGTCCTGCTCTCAGCCCAGCAGCCCCTACAACCCTGAGGAGATAACAAGAGCACACCATGGGAGGCCACCTGGCCATCCCTGTCAGATGACTTTGGAACAAAACTATGCATGTTGAATGACCAATACATTTCATCACTGAGAAAGCAGGTGTTCTCCATTCGCTGAGAACAGGAAGGTGCCCCCCCACACCACACAGTTGATTCTGTGAGAATCCCACGTGTGCACGTGTGGGGTGTTGGTTGGTTCCCCTCACCTGCTCCAGTGAGGCCTGCAATGAGGCAGGGATGTGCTACCACCACTGCTGCTGCTTCTGCTGCTGGGTTTGTTCCATTCAAAGGTGCAGCCACATCAACAATTTGAGAGCTTGGCCTTCTGATCCAGAATGCAGAGGTTCCTGACATTACCACCCATCTGATACAGAAAGGGTGGTAGGGGCAAAACCCCTTCCCCTCTGCAAACTGCTCTCAACTTTACCCTCATCTCCTCTTCCCCCAGGGGTAAACAGACATACCAAATCTTGGGGCTGAGAAAGCCAGTGGTAGGCCCAGCCTCTGTGGCATTCCCATCTGGTCAGGGATGTACCTCCGTCCATCCCGTCATCCTGCTGCTCACGGGCGGATGGTGCACTCTCCACATCCAGCGGCTGCTCATAGGCACTGGGGACTTCAGCTGGGAAACACGTTGTGGGTAGTTTTGTCCAAGAGGGGGCAGCTCCTTAGCAGTTCCAGTATGTACAGTTAAGCTCAGGGGCCTTCTCCTTCCTGCTAGAACACTACCCTTGTCTCCCAAGTTCCTGGGGACCTTAAGGTCATTGATAAATACTGTTTGATCAGGGTTTTATTCTTCCACGCTGTAGGTGACCCCTTGGAATAGTGGCCTCTCCTCTCTTTTGCACATACTTACCGGTTTCCGCAACTGGATTTCTACAGATCATTCAGCTGGTTGTAAGGGTTTTGTTTAAACTGTCCAAGTTGTTGGTGTCATTTGTTTTTGTATTATGTAGGAGGTTTTTCTTTAAGTAGAGAGAAAACACTACAGTGTAGTGCCCATCATAACAAATGCTTCAGAAACACTTCAATAAAAGAAAATTTTGTTTGTGTGATGGTACAGTCATTTTACTGGACCAACCCACCCACCTTGACTATACCAAGGCATCATATATCCACAGTTCTAGCCTAATTTTATGCTGATTTTCCCACCTCTTCTCGATTTTTCTCTTTTGTGTGCTCCAAATAATCTTATCAAGCTGAGTTGTGGCATTTTCCATGCAACCTCCTTCTGACAGCAGGTCACACTGCTTAAAGTAACGTGAACCACTGAGGCACATCACTGCGTTGATGTGAGCATTAAGACATTCTCACATACAGCCCTTCCCTGAGGCAACAAAAGTTGGCATATTCTAGAGACATTGCGAACTTGAGCTGTGTGAGACCCAGACTATGCCAGTTCTCCTTATGGGATGTCATGATGTTTGACACACAGTTGGAAAGCGCTTCCTTCTTGGAAGATAGAAGACTGTGTTCGTGGCCATCACCGGCCTCTCCTTCCATCCTGTTGCTTGTGACTCGGGACGACATTTCAATGGTTGGAAAAGCGGCTTCATAAAATAGAAAAGTGGTTATTGGGAAACCACCAAATGGCAAAATGCTTGATATGTGGCACTGTGCTTTGGTTGGGATAACAGATCAATGAGCCATGTATGATGCCAAATTGTAGGCCAGTCTGATCCACCAAAGCCTCTTTCTTAGCAGTCCACCTCTGTGACTGGTGGCCATGGTGGCCAAGTTACACTGACTCAGGTGAGTGAGAAGGCTAAGATGCTCATCCCCAGTGCTCAGCTCTCACTTCTGGATCTGCTTAGGGCGACCAGACAGTGTTGAAGGCAACTCCTTTCCAAAATGTAGGCACCTTCCAGTTGACAGTAACACTCCATGGTATGCCTTGGCCCATTCCAGCAGTCCCAGTAACGCACTTAAGGTTTGGGGTTTGTGCTTTCGTTAATGTTACTTTTGTGTTTGTCAGCTGTCTTTTCATTTCCTGGGCTAAGCAGCATTGGGAGACTTGGACCAGAGATCCACTCCTTAAGAACCAGTGATGAAAGTCAAACTTTCTTACTCCACTCTGAACTAGTCGGTGGTACAAATGAGAACTTCAAGAGAGGATGTTGTTTAGATTGAACCTCTGTTGCCAGAGATGCTGAAGATACAGACCTTGAATAGGCCAGATGTTTTCCTTTCTGGCCTCCAACTTGGATGACTAGTTGGTCATTTAGAGAAATGAACGCTCATCAATGGTGGAATGACCAGGCATTAGAAAACCACTGTTAACAGGGATCATGACATGAAGAGAAGAATTGTGGGCAGAAGGGTACAGGGCTTTGGAAGAAGCATGGGCAGTGTTTTGAACTTGATGCCTTTTGAAGGTATCAGACCACATCCAGGCTCAACAGTCATCCATGGGCATTTGGTTTCAACAAATAAACCTAACATCCTGCTCTGGAAACCTACAGAGTTAAATCACATTGTTCAAGAATGCGAACTATATCACACTCACCAGTTGAGTTGTCAGTTCTGGGGCGTGACTTTAGAGTTTTATTTTGTTTCTGCAAGAACATAATAATCACTCATTTGTATGTCCACATTTGTGTGTCCGCATCTTTCCAGTAAACATTTTTTAAATTAGTCACTCATTAGTGTTTCCAATAGGGCTCTTAAGTCCAGTAGATTACGGGTAGTCAGTTGACGAAGATCTGGTTTACAAGAACTAATTAAATGTTTCATTGCATTTTTGTAAGAACATAGAATAATTTTATAAAATGTTTGTAGTTTATAATTGCTAAAAATAATTTAAAGACACTTTTTTTTCTCTCTGTGTGCAAATGTGTGTTTGTGATCCATTTTTTAGGACACCTCTTTACTAGCTAGCTTTACAATATGCCAAAAAAATTAAAAAGAAAAAAATAAAGAAAGAAAAAGAAAAAAAAAGATTTTCCTGGACCCAGGCCATGGCTCACCCTCTTTTCCCCCCATGCTTTGTGCCCTATATAACAAAGGAATGATGATGATTTCAAAAGTAGTTCTGTATCTTCAGTATCTTGGTCTTCTAGAACCCTCTGGTTGGGTAGGGGATCTTTTACTGGTCATTTATTTCCCTTTGGAGTGTAGTGACCTTAACAGATGGAAAGAAAAGAACCTCATTGGCCATGGAAATAGCAGAGGTGTTGCCACCCCTTTGGGCAGGACACTGCGGCATCTGGCTGTCTGGCATGGTTGTTGCCTTGTTCCGCAATGCCATACAGATAGAAGGACTTCAGGGCACTGCAGATGGTTTTCACAGTGATCACACAAAAGATTCTGGGGCACACAGGCCATTTGCTTCTGTGCCTCACATTATGATGAATGCTTTGTTCTAACAAGGAAGAGACTTTATTTATTTTTATTTAAGGCAGAGCACCGAAGATACATTTTTCCCATACAGAACAAATTCTTTTTAATAAAAAGTATAGCACACGCCAATATTTTTTTAAGTTTGACTCCATGTCCTCTAGTTCCCAATTATAATTGGCCATGTCGACACAACTCCACAAAATCCCCATTGTTGGAAACATCTGGAATTTTTGCACTCCATAGGAGAAAGGTCCAGAAACCATTTGATTTTTGTTTTCAGCTTCTGATTTGGATGTTTGGTGTTGTGCAGACACATCCACAGGTGAACAGATGCCTGGCAAAAACACCTGTCTGCTTTCTAAGCCAGTGAGGTTGAGGTGAGAGGTTTGCCAGAGTTTGTCTACCTCTGGAATTAAAAAATCAAACAAACAAAAAACCAGAAGGCGCGATGGAATGGATACATCGCAAATAATGCATTTTCTGAGTTTTCTTGTTTAAAAAAGTTTTCTAAAAAAGTTTTAAAAAAAGGTAATAACATGGCCAATTTGTTACATAAAATGACTTTCTGTGTATAAATTATTCCTAAGAAATCCTCTGTTTATATAAAAAAATCAGTAGATGAAAAAAATTTCAAAATGTTTTTGTATATTCTGTTGTAAGAATTTATTCCTGTTATCTATATACTCTGGATTCTTTACATTATGGGGGAAAAAAGAAACTTTGTCTATTTTGAATGGCTGAAGCTAAGGCAACTTTAGTTTCTCTTACTCTGCTTTTTTCTAGTAGTTAAAGTACTACATGGTTTAAGTTAAATAAAAAAAATTCTGTACGCACTTTTTGACTTCAGTTTTGTTTCCTCCCTTCTGGAAGCATCACCACACTTGTGTGGCAGCGTGTGTATTCACACATGTCACTTGCAAGTGTTCCCTAAGAAAGCATCGCCTTATTTGTGACAGCTGAGCCTTCTGAGGATGCAAATTGCCGGTGAAGTCAGGGAAGCTACTCTTTCTCACTCCATTAAATTGGCTGGAAGAAAATTTGAATACAGGGCTGGGGTTGTGGCTCAGTAGTAGAGCCCTTGCCTAGCGCTAGTGTGAGGCACTAGGTTCGATTCTCAGCACCATATAAAAATAAAATAAAGGTATTGTGTCCACCTACAACTAAAACTATAAAAAGAAAATTTGAATACATATAATATAAAATCTGTACTTCATTTTTGACTGATTTGTAGGCTTTTCTCTAGACCTTTCACTGACAAAAGTCAGGCCAAGGCAGGTTTGATCTGTATGACTCTGTGGCAGAGGATTCTAATGTTAACAATTTCTTCAACATATGAGACTTTGAGGGACATTCCAGAGCTAAACAATAACATGGGGAAAGGAAAGAAATAGGTAGGTGGTCTTTAATGGGTACTATTTGGGATGATGAGAAAGATCTAGAAATAGATGGTGGTGATAGTTGCACAGCAACGTGGGTGTAGTGAACGCCACTAAACTACTTAAAAATGGCTAAAATGGGGGCTGGGAATGTGGCTCAAGCGGTAGCGCGCCTGCCTGGCGTGCGTGCGGCCCGGGTTCGATCCTCAGCACCACATACAAACAAAGATGTTGTGTCCGCCGAAAACTAAAAAATAAATATTAAAAAATTCTCTCTCTCTCTCTCTCTAAAAAAAAATAAAAAATAAAAAAAATAAAAATAAAAATGGCTAAAATGAACACCAAAAGAGGAAATAACCAAACACCAGCAACTCAGTACTTTTAAAGCCGCTCATGGGCCTGGGTGCGTTGTTTGGAGGCCAGGCAGAGGGCACCTAGAACAGTGGCTGCACCTGAGTTCCCATGGCCTCTGCAAAGTGGGTCTGTGGTCTTGGAAATCTGGCAGAATCATACAGCCCCACTGCTGTGCCCTTTAGAAGAAAAAAGTGCTAGGATTTGATTTCAAAGCCATGAAAAACATAACTTAGTTAATCCCTTGTGCAATGTCTGCCTTTTAGAGAGTTCTTTTTTCTTCTGACAATAAAATAACTTTGTGATTTTGTTGAGCTAATTCAGAATTTTTTCCCCTCTGTGTAAACTGTTTTACAAGCAATTTTTTAAAAGCCTCTCAAAGCACAATTGAACTCTACACACATCACTGAAACGTGTAATTTTCTCTAAAGCAGACATCCCCTAGTTGCTTCTCTTTGGCTGTTCGGTTTTCTGCAAATCAGGTTGAAAGCTTGGGTTTTCCCAGTCTCTTCCAGCATTTCCTGGATAATGACTTGCAAGGTTCTTCCCAGCAGGCTGGCAGGGAGCCAGTGTGACAGCGGAGGGGTATGGATGAGCGCTGCATGCCTATTTCCATGATGCAAAGAGAGGTAGTAGACGTAATCACAGACGTACCTGCATCCACATGAATCTCCACATCATTTCTCATACCAACCTCTAACTCCACAGAATGTAAACAGAATTGGCAATAAACTATGAGGGAGGACCACCACTTGGGGAAATTTAAGTTTGGGTTTTCTTGCCTCAGAAAGAACATGGGGCTGGAATGAATCAGAAACTGATTCCTAGTCTCATGACCAACAAGTGATTAAGAGAAAATGACCAGACTTTCAACTAATCCAAAACACTGTTACCCCAGTAAATCTCTCCATCATTCATGTCTTTATTGAGTCATTTGTCTATTCATTACTTGGAGAAGGGAGAAAATTCCTACCAAGATCAGAATTTGGAGATGCAAAGGTAAACTAATCTTTATCTGGGGCCAAATAAACTCAGAATTTTGACCCCCCCCCCAAAAAAAAATTATATATATATAAACATCCACAAAATACCCATGATTCTCAAAACCTGCTTTTCCATCTCTTCTGTAATAATGCTCCAAAGCCTGTGTTACAGGGAGGGGTCCTGGAAATAAGACCTCAGGCCAGGGTGTGAGCAACCAAGCTGTGCTCATCTGCAGCAAAGGGGTGGGTGATCGAGTAGCCAATTGGATGGCTCTCTCCCTTGGGGGGGGGGGGCGGGGAGAGATGGCACTCTGAAAATCATTCCCTCCCCTTGCTCACTCGACGCTTCTGCAAAGTGTACCTGCCCGCATCCCGGGAATAGGCCACGTCAACATCCTCCACCACAATGTTCTTGCAGACTGCCTTCATGCTGACCACCGACTCAATCACATCCGGGCCACCTGGTAGGCACACGCTGCCCTCAGGTCGGAAGCCCCGGATGTCAGCATCCTGGTAACTTCTATTCTTGCCACACTGTTCCAGAAAGATCACTTTGGCAGAGGTGTCCATGCCCACGTGCACAGCAAGCTGTGTGAACACATGGAATAGCAGAGACATCACAAGAAACCAGGTCATTAGATATGCAGAAGGGCCAGGCTGTGGGAGACCCCAGCTCCCAGTGCAAACTATCTCAAGCCTCAAATCCACCCAGAAAACCCACAATCCCCTGCCTGTGTCCTCTAATTAATACAAGTAGAAGGAAAAGCAGCGGGCTTTTAGCTGACTAGAAATCATGCTGCATTTATATTTAAATACCTTTACATTTCAAGATATTCTTACATAGTAATGTATTCATTCTCTCTTTTTGGTTGGGGGGGGGGGGGGGCGAGGAAGCTACTATCTAAGATTACCATAGGAGAAGCTTAGAATTTTAGTGGAATCATATGTCTTTTTAATGAAACTTTAATAAAGGAAGTTAGTAACAGACCAATAAATCTTGATAGAATGTATTTGAGCTGATTATTTTTCCTTTTTCAAAAATAGCTGCTGAGTATTTTATCAAAACATTTGGGGCATTGCTTTAACAGCGAGCATGATGGTATATGTTTTATTAACTTCATCTTATGGGCTTTGGGGGGAGGGCTGTTTGTACCAGGGTATTTGTACCAAGTAATTATGTTCAGATAATATAGTTTAGAAATATAAGTTTGATATAGGTTGAGAATATAGGTTTGAAAATAAGCCTTCCCTTGGTGGATCACACTCCCAGTCACTCTCCCAGGCCCAGGAGATCTTTACTTCATGTCCAACCTCAAACCAGCCTTCCCTGAATGGGCATGTGTGGGGCCCAACCCAAGCCTCTTCCTTAGGTGGAAACTCTTTGAGTTCCATTTCTTTTTCTTCTCCTTTCTCTCCTGGTTTTAAGACCTGCTTTAGCCAGGCTTGGCCGTGCAAGCTTGTAATCCCTGCAGCTTGGAGGCTGAGGCAAAAGAATCATGAGTTCAAAGCCAGCCTCAGCAACTTAGCAAGCCCCAGAACAACACAGCAAGACCCTGTCCCTAAATAAAATATTTAAAAAGAGCTAAGGATGTGGCTCAGTGGCTAAAAGCCCCTGGGTTCAATCCCCAGTGCAGGGGCCAGGAGGACCCTACTCTATATTTCAGCTTAAACCGAGAAACTTACTGTTAGATGGAATTAGGCTGGGTTTATCACTTACAATATCAGGACCTCACACTGTTGAATGGGACTTGGGGACAGGTTGCACGTCAGCCATCAACCCAAGCACCAGGATCCAGGAAGTTCATAACCTCTGTACTCCCCTACATCATCAGCCTCCAAGGCCCACTGCCTCTCTAGCCATCACTTACTTGTGGCTGAAAATCTTCCCAGATTCTGGTGACCCTCTGCTTTGCCTCCCTGTAATCTACAGGCAACTGCAGAGTTCGTAGTTCCACCGCCATATCAGTCCCCAGGCCCAACTTGGAGAGCTCCTGTAGAAAGAAGCAGACTGGCTTTAACTTAGTTGATGGAAGACAAAGGGGAGTCCCTATAACTCGAACCCTTGGGCCCCACTTACAGGGATCCTCTGTGGGCCTGCATCCTGCCCTCAAGGAGCTCATGCAGTGTTAAGAGTCTGCTTTGGAATATTGAAGAAACTTTCCCAGCTTGTAATCATAGAGAGAACCTAGGCGCAGCCTCATTTGGAAACTCCTGCTCTTGAAATTCTGTCTCCTGGCCCCCCACCCCCCACATACACCTGGTGTCCTAGGCCACCAGTACTGTGCATGGCAGATAGAGGCATTTTATAAAATAAGCTAGAGTTGGCAGTCATTCTGAGCCTGGATTGGGAGGATGATGCTGGAGAGAAGGAGCACATGCCACCCAAGTGTTTGCAGGAAATGGCATGGGCTTTGAGGTCAGAAAGACCTGAGTTTGAAACCTGGCTTTACCACCATGCAGCCAGTAAGTTAGGTATACTATCAACTTTGGAGTTCCTTAATTTTCTCATCTGTGCAATGGGGATAATTGAAAGTCAGATGGGTTTTCATGAAATGATTCACAATTTTCATGAACATCGAATGAGATGATTCACTAGGCACAGTGACTAGCAGCACATAGTTGGGACTTTATAGAAGGGACCAGTGTTTATAATGAACCTGTATTAATCTGAGAAATTTATGCAAGATGGATTTATTGAAAGCGGCATTTATTAGAATTTGATGAGCCCTGTCAGAAGCAGTGATAACACTCTGCACAGACTTCAGGCTGCTGGCTGCCACCACCATTTCTGCTGAGAAGAGCTGGTGGTTTCAGCACAGGGAGTATTGGTTCTGCACAGAATTGGAGAGAGTCATGGGTTTGTGCCTTCCGAATTGGCACACTTTCTCAGCTAGAATTGCAATCTTTTATGCTAACGCGAGGAGAGACAGAGCCTGGAATAACCCCCCGCCCAAAGTGAAATCCAGCCCACTGCTTTAGCCACAATGCCTCCAGAAAACCTGAACCCCACAGCTGCAAAGGTCCTGGACAAGAGGAAACCTGGCTTCCTGTTTCTTTCTCTCTTCCTCTCTTCCATCCTCCACCTCCGAAATCTGGTCACCAGAAACACATGGCAGTTTCTCA